AGAGCAAAGCCCAAGCATATGTCTTTGCAATATGTTGCAGATGCCGAATTAAAGGACAGAGAGAGGGGGAGAGAGAAACAAAACAAAAAGAAAAGAAAAAAACTGTGTCCAGTGATGGAGAAGGAAGCCGGCTAGAAATAAATAAACCTTGATGTTCCTAATTAGAAAGTTCTCCAGAATTTAAGAGGAAGATCAAAGGCATCGTAGAAGTGAAAGAGGAAGGATAAAAATGGATAACAGGAAGATTGTGTTTAGAGAGAATGTGTGTTTGGAGAAAGTGTGGATGGAGGCGGTCCTCGACTTAACAACCATTCATTTAGTGACCGTTCAAAGTTGCAGCGTCACTGAAAAAAGTGACTCATGACCGTTTTTCACACCGTTGCACCATCCCCAGCGTCACGTCATCAAAATTCAGACGTTTGGCCACTGACTCATATTTATGACAGTGAAAGAAAGAAAGAAAGAAAGAAAGAAAGAAAGAAAGAAAGAAAGAAAGAAAGAAAAAAAATGAGAGAAAGAGACAGAAAACATGAAATGAATGAAAGAGAAAGAAAGAAATGAAAGAGAAAGACGAAAGAAAGAAAGAAAGAAAATGAGAGAAAGAAAGAAAATGAGAGAAAGAGACAGAAAACGTGAAATGAATAAAAGAGAAAGAAAGAAATGAAAGAGAAAGACGAAAGAAAGAAAGAAAGAAAGAAAATGAGAGAAAGAAAGAGACAGAAAACATGAAATGAATGAAAGAGAAAGAAAGAAAAGAAAGGAAAGAAAGAAAGAAAGAAAGAAAATGAGAGAAAGAAAGAGACAGAAAACATGAAATGAATGAAAGAGAAAGAAAGAAATGAAAGAGAAAGAAGAAAGGNGGGGGGGGGGGGGAGGGAGAGCCAAAAGGGCCCCTGATGGAAGAAGGAGGGGAAAAAAGGCCAAATACATTTCAAAGCACAGAAAAGTAAAAATGAGCTGTCGGAACATATTGGCTCTCAAAAGGGGAGGGGGAAGAGTTTCCCCTGTTCCTCTTAAATGCTCCTTTCCCACGCTCTGCGAGAATTTTGCATTCTCTCTCCAGACTTCCCGGCCAATCCAACAGATGAAAAGATTCACGGTCCAGGCTGAGCTCTTTGGTCAGCCACTCCAGACCAAATAAAAAAAAAGTAAAAAAATAAAATAAAAATTCTTCCCAGAAGCTTTTCATAATTCTCCAGCAGCATTTACACATTCCGCTCTCCCTCCCCGTGCGATTACCATTTTTCCTAAACAGAGCAAAGCCCAAGCATATGTCTTTGCAATATGTTGCAGATGCCGAATTAAAAGACAGAGAGAGGGGGAGAGAGAAACAAAACAAAAAGAAAAGAAAAAAACCGTGTCCAGTGATGGAGAAGGAAGCCGGCTAGAAATAAATAAACCTTGATGTTCCTAATTAGAAAGTTCTCCAGAATTTAAGAGGAAGATCAAAGGCATCGTAGAAGTGAAAGAGGAAGGATAAAAATGGATAACAGGAAGATTGTGTTTAGGGAGAATGTGTGTTTGGAGAAAGTGTGGATGCAGGCGGTCCTCAACTTAACAACCATTCATTTAGGGACCGTTCAAAGTTGCAGCGTCACTGAAAAAAGTGACTCATGACTGTTTTTCACACCGTTGCACCATCCCCAGCGTCATGTCATCAAAATTCAGATGTTTGGCCACTGACTCATATTTATGACAGTGAAAGAAAGAAAGAAAGAAAGAAAGAAAGAAAGAAAGAAAGAAAGAAAGAAAGAAAGAAAGAAAGAAAGAAAGAGAAAGAAAGAAAGAGAAAGAAAGAAAGAAAGAAAGAAAATGAGAGAAAGAGACAGAAAACATGAAATGAATGAAAGAGAAAGAAAGAAATGAAAAAGACGAAAGAAAGAAAGAAAGAAAGAAAGAAAGAAAATGAGAGAAAGAAAGAGACAGAAAACATGAAATGAATGAAAGAGAAAGAAAGAAAAGAAAGGAAAGAAAGAAAGAAAATGAGAGAAAGAAAGAGACAGAAAACATGAAATGAATGAAAGAGAAAGAAAGAAATGAAAGAGAAAGAAGAAAGGAAAGAAAGAAAGAAAGAAAGAAAGAAAGAAAGAAAGAAAGAAAATGAGAGAAAGAAAGAGACAGAAAACATGAAATGAATGAAAGAGAAAGAAAGAAATGAAAGAGAAAGAAGAAAGAAAAAGAAAGAAAAAAAGAAAAAGAAAGAAAGAAAGAAAGAAAGAAAGAAAGAAAAAGAGAAAGAAAGAAAGAAAAGAAAAGAAAAAAACCTTCAGACTGTTATTTTATAAATGATTCACAAGATGCAATCCTGGCGCTTGCGAATTGTCCATTTGTGAAATCACTTTGTGCCTTCTGGGGAAAGGCACAAGAAAAAACACAAGTGTGAAATTACAATTACTTTTTGCAGTTCTCCATAAAGAGACTTGCGCAGGGCGAAAGAGCAGACGGCCCCCCTCCTGCTTTGGGGTGAAACCCCAGCATGGCTTTTCAGGGGTCATTTGTCTCTTGTTGAAGCACCGGGATGTTTGCAGAAACCAATCAAGGATGCCGACCCCTCTGGAATCCTAATCAGATCAGCTCACTCACGGATTCTTCTTCTTTTTTAAATTTGGATCGCATTTTTATTTTCCTAAGGTGGGCGACTCTGCTGGTCCTTTGCTTTGAACTGGGTAGAAAGAAAAACTACAGGTGGTCCTCAACGTCCGGTGGTCACAATTCAGCCCAAAATTTACATTGCTAAGCGAGACGTTTCTTAAGTGAATTTTGCCCCGTTTTACGACCTTTCTTGCCACAGTTGTTAAGTGAATCACTGCGGTTGCTAAATGAGTCACACAGTCATTAAGTGAATCTGGCTCCCCCCATTGACTTTGCTGGTCTTGTGATCCCACAGCAATGCGCCGATCATAAATACGAATCCGTAGCCAAGCGTCTGAATTTTGATCCCGTGACCCGGTCGTAAGGGTGAAAAATGTGTGGCAAGTCACTTTTCAGTGCTGTTGTGACTTTGAACGGTCACTAAACGAACCGTTGTAAGTCAAGGACCACCTGTCAAGGTGATGGTTGTGAGGAGCTGTCTTTTCAGCACCAGAGTTTCTCCACTGGTGTCCGTGCACTTTAGGATCGCCAGACCCCCACAAGAAGAAAAACAACCAGGTGCTCCCTAACCTGACCCACTTTATTCCACTTAAAGTGACCTGCGGTGCACAGAGAGTTTTACACACACACACACACACACACACATGGACAGGAGGAAGAAAAGCGATGGTCCCTGGGCAGAGAGCACAAAATGGCTTTAGAGAGGGTTGAGCAAGGAAGGGGGGGAGGCTGGGTGTGCAGCGCACCAAACTGGGGTGTGGCAGAGAAGTGTATGCGTGTGATCAGGGCTTTCAAGGGAGGGGCATCCATGTGTGCGGGGACTGGAGGAGAGTCACAGCTGAGGATTGTGTGTTTATACACACACACACACACACACACGACACACCAAGGTGACTGGTATTCTGTCTCCTGGAGAAAATAAAAGGTAAGATTAGATAGATAGATAGATAGATAGATAGATAGATAGATAGATAGATAGATAGATAGATAGATAGATAGATGATAGACAGACAGACAGACAGACAGACAGAGGGAGAGATGGAGAAATAGACAAAGACAATAGATGACAGATGGAGAGAGAGAGAGAGAGAGAGAAAATAGAGATATAATCAATAAATAATGGAGAGAGAGAGAGATAGGATGACAGAGATAGAGATAATTAATAGATGGAAAGAGATAAGATAAAATAAGATAAAATATTTATTATCACTTTTCCTGCGTACACACTGGCACACATTAAAAAACATGCACATCCTTTTGTGATGGTTTGGACCCGCATGCTGTGAAGCGTGTGAGCGTGTTTGTGTATGTGCGCTCAATCATTGCAACTGAGTGAGCTGTGTCAGGGAGAGACAAACTCTGCAGTGCAAAGTCGGGGTCTCGATGACCAAGTGAGACATTGTTATTTGCGGGGGGAGGGGGGCAGAGGAGGCAAAATTGGATGGCTGCAGATCGTGACCGGTTGGTTGGGGGTGTCGCCTGCACGTGTGAAGAGCGTTTGCTGTGCTTCGGTGAGTGTGGAAGGCATGCCCTCGGCAGAGGCTGAGGAAGCCCAGTTGTTTTGCTGCAGACATCTTCCAGCGAGCCTCCCCTCGGCTACCAGCTCCGTCTCTGCTCCGAGTAAGTCCATTTGTTTCTAAGGGGGGAGTAAAAAGGGGGATCCAGGAGACAGGCAGGCAGGCAGCGGAGTCTGCTTTATTTCCTATTGTTTGGAAATAAAGCATTAGAAGTTGCAGACAAAGAATATTCCGAGATAGTTGGATCCTGCCCTTCTTCTCAAGAAACCCAGAGGGCTGATGCCTTCCCTATCTCCTGTTTCCACTAGTCCTGGGAAGAGAAAAAGAAAAAAGAAAAGAAAGAAAGAAAGAAAGAAAGAAGGAAGGAAGGAAGAAAAGAGAGAGAGAAAGAAAGAAAGAAAGAGAAAGAAAGAAAAAGAAAGAAAGAAAAAAGAAAAGAAAAGAAAGAAAAAGAGAAAAGGAAAGAGAAGGAAGGAAGGGAAGTAGGGAAGGGAAGGAAGGAAGGAAAGAAGGAAGGACTGAAAGGGACCTTAGAGGTCTTCTAGTCCAACCCCCTACTCAGGCAGGAAACCTCCTAGACCATTTCAGACAAATACTTGTCCAATCTCTTCTTAAAACCCCCAGAGTTGGAGCACCCCCAACTTCTGGAGGCAGGTCTTTCCACTGAAGGAAGAAAGAAAACTGTTTATTTCAGGGGTCTTTATGGGAAGATTGGCTACACTTTCTTAGCTGATGTCCTACCTTTTCATTAAAAAAAAAAAGTCCTCCTGAGAGTAAACTAACCCTTCCTTCTTCTTGAAGTCTCTGCTCTTCCCTCTCAAACCTGAATAGCTCCTTCTGAGCTTGCCCAGGTCATAACCATGTCATTCCTCTCCATCATCCCCAACAGCTATGAACCTCTCCTTCAGCCTCACCTTTCTTGGGAGCCACCTGGAGCCCTGGATGCCGGCCAACCTGTCTTTGTCGGGACAGCTGAACAGGAGCCGAGGGATGGGCTGGGAGGAGCTAGAGAAGCTGCTTTTCCTCTTCAATGACGATCCGGTCATCATCGGCCTCACCATCCTGTACCTGGTGTCCTTCTTGGTGGGGCTGGTCGGCAACGTCATGTCACTCCGGATGCTGACCCGGAAACGGAGCAACAACATGCCCAGCCTGAATGCCACCCGGAGTCTCCTGATCAACTTGGCTATCTGCGACCTGATGGTGGTCTGCATCTGCCTGCCCATCACGACCGGGAACTTGATCTACAAAGCGTGGGTCTACGGAGACTTGCTGTGCAGGGCAACGCCATTCATCCAGGCCGTCGCCGTCTCAGCCAGCATCCTCAGCCTGACGGTGATCAGCTTGAACCGCTATTACAACGTGCACAACCCCCTCAAAGCCCGGTCCTTCTTCACCCGGAGGAAGATCTTGAATACCATCCTGATGGTTTGGGTCTTGTCTTCAGGCATCAGCATGCCTCTTATATTTATGAACAAACGAGAGGAGATCGGGGTGGGGTCCGACCTGCCGTTGGTGTTCCCCATTTGCCGGGAAGTGTGGCCCCGGGAAGAGCTGAAGCAAACCTACAATTTCTTCCTCTTCTGCACTCTCTACTGCTTGCCGGTCTCCTTCAACATGGTCATCTGCTACTTGACTGTCCATCGGCTCTGGAGCCCCACCAGCACCCTGAGAGACTGCGGTGGTGCCTTGAAGCAGACCTTGCTGGCTTCCAGGTTGAAGATCCGCCGGAAGGTGGTTCAAATGGTCATCGCCTTAGTCCTCCTCTTTGCCATTTCCTGGCTGCCCATTTACCTGGTGGACATCTGGATAGAGTTCCACAGCCCCAAGTCCTTGTGGGATGAGGAACCATCTCCTTTGGTCCTGCAACTGCGAGCTTTTTCTCAATGGCTTAGCCTCACCAACTCCAGTCTCAACCCCATCTGCTACTGTTTTCTGGGCGACCTCTACAGATCGGCTAAGGAAATGAGGAGCAGATACCAAAAGAAGGTGGCTTCTCTTCTCAGCTTCTCTCCCTCCCGAAAGAGCTGGCCACCTTCTGTTCCTGAGATGCTTTCTTACAGGAGGTCTATGGACTCAGCTAAAAAAGAATCGGACCTTGCAACAGGAAGAGAAGGCCACAGAGGCCACAGCCACAGCTGCAGAGACCTTGCCTAAGATGCTATTTCATATGTATCCGTCTTTATCAACTAGGGATGGCCAATGGTGTGTTGGCGAAGAAGCATCTTCCTACAAGGGTTGAAGTTTCCACTTGTGCATCTTCCCTGGATGGGAGCACCTTCCTGAAGCCGATCGAAGAGAATATTTGTAGCTCAGATTTGAACTGGGGGGTCCTTGGTGCGCTCTCTGAGCTTGGTTGTTTTCTTCCAGACATTTCACGAGCCTACTAGGGCAGAGGTCCCCAACCTTTTGGGTCACCAGGGACCGGTTCCGTGGAGAGAGGTTTTTCCACGGACAGGAGGGTGCGTGGTTTTGTGTGCTGCCTGCATCTCGTGGATGGGACTTTGCTTGTTTTTGTGGACCAATTGCTGGCATGCTGTGACTCGGTGCTGGTCCACGGACTGGGGGTTGGGGACCCCTGTACTAGGGAACATCATCAATGCTAGAAGGGAGTGGAGGTTGCAGAGAGGAGGAGGAGGAGGAAGAAGAGGAGGAGGGGGGAAAGAAGAAGAGGAGGAGGAGGAGGAGGAGGAGGAGGAGGAGGAGGAGGAGATGGTGGAGAAGGGAAGGAGAAGGACTGTGGGATCCTTGGTGCTCTCTGAGCTTGGTGGTTTTCTTGCTGACATCTCCTGACCCAACTAGGTAACTTTATCAGTGCTTCTGGAAGGGAAGACAGTGAATTGAAGACAGGATCTGAACACTTGCAGAGATGATAAGAGCCCCAACATGCTCAATTTTATCTGTTAATTGCAAGGTTTTGGAGTCTCTCCAAGAACCAAAGTACCCCAAGGAACATTTTTGGTAAAGTCATTTTTCTCCATTTTCATCTTTTACAGTCCCTTTAAACGCCCAGGGTTCCTGCAGATGCAATTTACATTAGATGTCTTCTGCCTGCAGCTGATAGAAATTTAATTCCATTATCACATAACATTAGAGTTCAAAGGCAATTTTACCTCTAACTCAGAATCAAGTGCTCCTAGTATAAATTCTTGTAAAAAAAAGAAAAGAAAAACGCTTTCTCCTAGGAAAGAAAGTCAGCTTTGGATAGAAAAAAAGGCTGGGTCTTCTCTCTTTAGGGAAATTTTTTAAAAAGGCTACCGTAGAATTAAATTTATAGTTTGGGGTCTCTTTTATCTGGTATCCAGTTGTAAGGCGTCTACAGTCAATTAATTGCTCTTTTCACTAAGAATCCTGGCTACTAACATTGATAAAGATGATAAAGGTAGCACACAAATAAATAAACAGCTTCTCCACCTGCTAAAACGTCTTGAAACCTGTGTTATGGAAAAAGACAAATGCTGAGAGTTTACGGTGTGTGTATGTCTGAATTCCAATCAAACATTTAAATTTCCCTGTCACTCTAGAGACCAAGGAATGGAAACGACAGAATCTGGAATTAATGACCCGAAAAGAGATGAAACTGACACACAACCCTGAAGTTGTCAGGTATGTGCTAATGTCCCATGATAAAAGCTGGGATGTTGAAGTTAATCAATCTTTTCACTCACTCCCCCTGCAAACAAAGCTCAAGGACATTAAAAAGCTATTTGCTGAGAGATGAAATGGAATCGCATTTGGTTTCCCATGACACCCAAATATCGCCTGCCAGGTATTTTCATATCTCGGGCCGGTGCAGCAGGACTCAAAGCTGGAAGATGATACAGCATCCATCAAGTCAGCTGCCATCAAACAGGAGAGAGTCAGAAGGAAGAGACGCCTCTCTCGATAAGGGGGTAGAGCTGGAAGGGACCTTGGAGGTCTTCTAGTCCAGCCCCCTGCTCAAGCAGGAGAACCTATATCATCTCAGACAAGTGACTGTCCAGCCTCTTCTTAAAAACCTCCAGTGATGGAACGCCCACAATAGAAAGATTAGTATTTCTGATTTTGGTTTCGTGGTCCAGGCTGCCTCAAAGGCCTAGCCAATACACAATAAAAATAGAATAGAGTTAGAAGGGACCTTGGAGGTCTTCTAGTCCAGCCCCCTGCTCAAGCAGGAGAACCTATATCATCTCAGACAAGTGACTGTCCAGCCTCTTCTTAAAAACCTCCAGTGATGGAACGCCCACAATAGAAAGATTAGTATTTCTGATTTTGGTTTCGTGGTCCAGGCTGCCTCAAAGGCCTAGCCAATACATAATAAAAATAGAATAGAGTTAGAAGGGACCTTGGAGGTCTTCTAGTCTAGCCTCCTGCTCAAGCAGGCGAACCTATACCATCTCAGACAGGTGATTGTCTAGTTAGTAGTATCTTCTTAAATACTTCCAGTGATGGAGCGCCCACGATTTCTGGAGGCAAGCTGTTCCACTGGTTAACTGTCCTCACTGTCAGGAAGTTTCTCCTTAATTCTAGGTTGCTTCTGTCTTTGATCAGTTTCCCACCATTGTGTCTTGTCTTGCTCTCTGGTGCTTTGGTGAATAACGTGACCCAAATTAATTATGAAATATTCCCTAAACTTCGATCATGAAAGGACTCCTCATTTCCATGCAGCTTGCTATAGCCTTGGCTCATTTCCCCACAAATCAAGCAAGAAAAACAAACAAACAAACAAGAATCATAAGCCTTTCATTCTCACAAAAACAGGATCTGGTAAAGTCACCTTAAGAGTCTTAGAAGAACATGTTGTCCAAATCCACCCTCTTGTGGCGAGAAGTGGAGATTCTCCACTGGTTGACAAGAGTTCTGGCTAATATTCTTTATTAAGCCCCTAGTTTGAATGTTGGTGTGGAGGAAGAGATAGAGGGACATAGTCCGAGGATCTAAGGTGCTTTAGGAAGGACATAGTTGAGAAAGTGGAGATACGGAGGGCCCTAGAAAGGATTCACAGAAAGAGGGGAGATGGCATGGGGTAGGTTGAGTCACCTTGAGAAGGTAGGGAGACAACTGGAGGAGGAGGAGGAGACCAAGGAAATTTCAACGTGGACTTTACATGGAAGACTGAGAGTGGAGCAGAAAAACTCCAGTGAAGTAGAAAGCCTTTGATCCAGGAGAATTAGAGAAGGAGAGAAAGAATGTTTACACCCCTCCACAAAGTTTCCTTTTAAGATTATATATTTATGTGCCTATCGAAAAGAAATAATTTAGGCTGCTGAGCTGCATATTGTAAATATTAAAAGGAATCCTGTGTCGGAGAGACTGAAAGAAATGAGTCTTTGTCTCTAAAGTCAAAAAGGCCTACATTGTGTTTATCCCCTTGGCTGAGCTCAGCCCTCTGTTCTTTGTGCCCTGGAGAAAGTTCTATATTAATATAGTAAACATAAATATTTGCAGCGGAGAAATTCAGTTTAGGGGAGTGATGGATTAATTTGGGAAATGCTGAGCCAGGATGCTGGTACGGGACTTGAATTTAAATGTTAGGAGACCATGATCATCTCGAACCAACGCCTTCCATCATGGCTAGATGATGGGACTTGTAATCCATCGCAGCTGGTGTGTCAAGGTTCAGGATAGGCTGGATTAAAGTCTCAATCCCATATCGCCCCAGAGTTGGAAACGAATCAAAGCAAGTATCTTCCTCTGCTTGCTAGCTGGGGAATTCTGGGAGTTGAAGTCCACCCATCTTAAAGTTGGCGAAGTTGAGAATCACTGATCATCATCATTTTTACGGCTTGAAATGAGCTTAGCAATTTCCCACCTGTCTCTATGAAGCTTAGGAAACTCTGTTACTGAACTCTTAATTCCAAAAAAAGAGAAATACGCCAATATTTTTACATTCACAGGCTCATTATACCCTACCTTGCAGTGAAAATAGAAATCCCAAATATTGTATGGCGCAGAGAAACGGTACCATAAAAGCTTGAGGTTACTAAGGTTGACCAACGCTGCCCTGGAGTCTTCCATAAATGAGATCATAGCCAGTGGCCATCACAAACTACTGAACGAGCAGACCTTCGCAAAATGCTGGTGTCGTCTTTTAACATGTGAATAATACCGCCTGTGTTAGCAGGATGGCCAGAATAGACTGGGCACTGTAAATTCACTTCTTACTTCTCCAGATACTTCAAAGTTTGCTTTGGTTAGTCCTTTCACAATCCCCCTTTTCATTTTCCTCTAAACCAGTAGCCCTAAATGGGAAGAAAAATCCCAAAGGAATATTTGGGGATATATGAGGTCAACGCCCGTCCAGCTTGTTTTCATCCCCCATAGATGTTGGCCTAGCTGAAGGCTTCCTTGTGTCATTCTGGCCAAGTTGTCGTTCCACAACCCCGCCTTTATTTCCAGGGCAGAAAGCATTCAGCGCAAATAAGGGCCTGTTCCAAAAACCTCATTCATTTCTGCGTTCCAGCAGATGCAAGGAAACAACATGGCTGAACACGGCTATAAATCTCCTCCTCTTGCTAATGCCTCTTCCTTAAAAATAAAAATCCATATTTGACTTGTCTAGACTAGAGGCTCACCCACTACAATGTATCTGCCTGGCTTTCTCTCCCCACATCAATCTTAGACAATAGACCGAGCTGAAGGGGGCTTGACAGGGGAGGAAGATCTTCATGCGCTGAAGGGTTCTTTTTTCAACAGAAGAAAAGAATAAAGCTTAGAGGCCCGAGGTAAACATTCCAGTTTGGTAGGCTACTTATCTGAGATGCTACTGGAGGAGGCATCTCACCTGGGCACTGAAAACATTCACTTGGAGATTGACTGGGTAGAAGATTCTCAGTTCTGAATTTGTTGTGGTGGTCCTTCCTGCTCTTTTGCCCCAACAGGTGAGGGACCTTGGTCCAAAGGACCTCATTGGACCACCAACCCACCTCCCCAAATCTTGAGTTGACTTCATGCACACCAGTAGCCCAAAGAATAACTTCAAGAGAACATCTTCTGCATTCTGGGTGACTTTGTTTTCCTGATTCTGGAAAATATGGAACCGTGAGGGCCAGGACTTTTTTAAGATCTGGAAATCACCCACCACATTCTCTGGTTATAAATTTTAAATTAAGACCAATTAATAGTAACTGCAGAGAAACACGTTGTTCCCTTTGAGGATTTCCAGACCTTTTCTACCCAAGATATTACAAATTGTTCCTGTTTGCCTCTTTAGGACGTATTCCTTAGCCCAAGCACAATTCTTAATTTTGCTTTAAGAAAACCACAATAACGCTCTCTCTCTCTCCCTGCTCTTTCCCAATCGCTTCCATGTTGTGTTCAATAACAAGACTGTCAGAATTGAATATATTCAAGATTGCTTTTTGGCAAATCAACCCTTGTTTATTTTTTTTCCACGCAAAAACCTGAGCAGGCCCTTGCCTTGTTTTTATCCAAGGGTGAGTCACACATTCCAGATTTTGGCAGCAAGCAAAGTTGCAAAAAGCCAGAAGGGAAGATTTATACATCTTATTATCAGCTGCTCCCGATGCAGAGAGTGGAAGCATCTAAGGAGAAATCTAGTTCTTCTGGCTCCAGAGATATACAGACCTGGGTCTCTTTCCACAACATTGGGAGGGGGGAGAAGGAAGGAAGAGGGGGATGCCTGCCAAATTCTGTACAGTTTTTGCCTAAGTGAAATTTCAAGTGTTAAAAGGAATCCCGTACCCTTAAAATGGCCAACACGCTCTAAGATGGGCTGAAATATCCAGTGGCAATTGTGGCAGGGACCTTATTTTACTGGCGTTGGGGTCTTCTGAAATCCCAGCTTCTGCAGAACCATCTTTGAATAGACTCAAATACATCGCCCTAAAGGCTGGTTGCCCCGAAGAATCTTTGCTGGTATTTTTCTGTTAGACCAGGTTTCTGCAAAACTGTAGACGGATCGGCTGACAACGATTCCTGGGAAACAGGATTAAAGATCATGGGACGGTTTGATGAAACAAAAGTTAGAGAGATTCTTCACTCGGATGGCTTCTTCACTAGCAATTGTGGTCTGAGACCGCATTCTCTTGCAAAGTCCATCTGGACTGTGGCAGACTTCACACTATGCTTTTTCTTACCCTTGGATTACAGCCAAAATACAGATCAAGCCATGATTTAGAAGACCAGCGAACCCGGTTAATGATTTTTCCCTGCCATCTTTTCCAAACACCTTTCAAAATAAAACTTTTAGCATTATTTGTGGTGGGGGGGGTGTTTAATAAAAAAAAAAATGAAACTGGCTGGGTGACTTTGAGTCAATCAGCAGGAGACGGTGCGTTCTAGTCCCGCCTTTAGTCGTGAAAGCCAGCTGGATGACTTTGGGCCAATTGCCAGGAGACGGTGCGTTCTAGTCCCGCCATTGGCATGAAAGCCAGCTGGGTGATTTTGGGCCAGTCCCTCTCTCTCAGCCCAACCCAACTCACAGGGTAATTGTTTTTGGGAAAATAGGAGAAGCTATGTAAGATATGTTTGCCACCTTGAGTTTTTTGTAAAAATAATAAAGGCGGGACATGAATAAATAAATTTAGGCATACCACTGCAACCAAGAGTCAGTCAGCTATTCTACTACCAGAGACTCTGCAACATGCTGCATTTTTGTTCACTGTATCCCACCCTCCCGGCTGGGGTTGAGGGGAGACTGAACAGAAGCAACGTAAGAGGACACTTTTTTTTTTGTTCTTCCTTCCCAGAGCAGGCTCTGTATTAAATATATTTTTTAATATATTAATTCTTTCTTTCCATTTGTTTTAAATGCACCAAAGCATCAACATAAAACAGCGGTGGAACCCACCCCATCGTAACGCAACCGTAGAAAATAAGAGGTAAAACTGGACAAAACCAAAGAGGGGTTTTGAGAATCTGTTCCTCAGAAGGTTCAGAAACTCACACCCGAGCAATGTGTTAAAAAAAGGCTGTAGAAAAAGGAACAGTTGTGGAGGTCAACCTGGATGGACCTTATGCTTTGGGGTAGCGGGGGGGGGAGGGGGAAGAGGAAATGGTTCTGTGCGAGAAGCAGACCTGCACGCTCGTGCAGCTCCATTTGCGCCAGTGGCGGGCACTCGCATGCGTGCGTGAAGCTCCACTTGCACGAATGGCATGCACGCTGCTCCATTTGCACGAGTGGCAGGCACTCACGCATGCGTGTGAAGATCCGTTTGTGCCAGGGGTGGGCCTACCCGCCGCTCACACAAATGGAGCTTCACGCAGGCGTGCGAGTGCCCGCCCCTTGTGCAAATGGAGCTGCACGTGCACACACTCGGCTGTTGCTCATGCGGCCCGGTTCTGAGTGGGCCGCGGCCCAGTAACCGGGCGGCAGACCCAGGAGTTGGGGACCCCTGATTTGGGGGACATCAAATAGGGAGGATTCTTTGGGAATTTCGAGCACTCCTCCACCTCCCTCTTGCTCAGTTTTTGAGCAGGTTTTCTGGTTTAGGATATCCAAAAAGTACAAAATCGGCCTCGTACAATTTGTACAGCCGCTGTCGCCACGCCATGGGAATTTTCGCAAACCAGTCCTCCTCCCAACTGTTGGCTGTCCTATTCCGGTAGCTGGGAGGGAAGTGGAGAAGATGGTCCACCTTGAGGAGTTGCAACAGGTAAGTAGCATCTTCGTCCAAGGTCTCCAGTTTCCCAACAAAGTCATACTCGATCTGGCAGGGATGACACAGGCGGTACACCTGCCTCCAATGCTCGTTGAAGGGGGCCAACTTCTCTGTCCGAGGGTCCAGCAAGTACTGGATGAAGTCTGAGAAGGAGACTCGGAAGCCACCGTCAAAGGCTTCGCTCACCGAGGTCGGCAGGCTGCTGTAGTTGGAGTAGAGCTTGAGCATGGGGATGGCAAACCGGCGGTAGAATTCCTCGTTGGCCAGCTCAAATTTGCTGCGGAAGGCCGAGATCAGCCGAACAAAGGGGTCCCGGACGAAGAGGAACTTGGTGTACTTCTTGAGTTTGATCTTCATGAGGTGGCGGGAGAACTTGCCATAGCGACGCCAGAATTTGTTGAAGGTGAAGTGGGTGCTGGTGTTGTGCACGTGCTCGCGGGGTATGTCCAAAGGGTCGACGTAGGGGACCCCTTGATCCATCAAGCTTTCGCTCAGGACAATCATCACCCGCTTCCAGTTGGTGCAAGCCACTTTGGGAACGTAGCAGTAGATGACGCCGTGGCGGTCATCGACAATGAGGTGGTTGAGCTCGTAGTTGGGGATGTCATCAAAGGTCCGCTCCTTTGTTGGGAAGGAGAAGCTGGAATTGGTGCACCAATCCTGCAACATCTGCCGTCTCTCCTTCTGCAAGTTTGCTTGGTCCAGCACCAAGCTGGCCTCCCTGGTGGGCCAGTCGTAGCCTCTGACTTTCTCCTCCAAGTTGCTGGTCCCGGGCTTGCTTGAAGCACGCAAGGGCGGCTTCGGCTTCTCAACCTTCTGGCCGAGATCGGTGTTCTTTTTCAGATCAGAATTTAAAAGGTTCTCCAAAAAGTCATCCACCTCCAGCAGAGAACCTGGGTTGTCCTTCCCCGCTGTGGGGAGCACCTCCTGAGGTCTGGAGAGGGTGGTGTGGAGGTAGAAATGCGCAGTCCCAACATTGTCCCAATAAACGATGATCAACAATATCATGAAAATGGAGCCGAGGACCACCGAGAGACGGAAAAGTCGTGCGTTGGTCATTCTGCCAGGTGGGATCTTCAGCTACTTCCTACTGATCTCATCTCCAACTCAGTGGAAAACCTCTGGAATCCAACATGGCCTTGATGAATGGTCACCACCTGCAAGGGGTACAAGCACAACATGAGTGTTCTTTTTCGTAAACATTAGACAATACAGAACAGGTCAGCCTTTTCCAGCCTAACCTCCTAAAGACAGCCAATGAAATTCTGGAGAATCGGTTGGTATGAACGGGCTCCTGGTTGTTCTTTGAGTTTGGCTGTTTTTGTGCAGATGTTTCATTCCCCATCTAGGTAATATCTTCAGTGGAATCCTTGGTGCTCTCTGGGCTTGGTGGTTTTCCTGCAGACGTTTCATTACCCAGCTACGTAACACCATCAGTGGAGTTTGCTCTCTCAGTGCGTTCCCTACTAGCACTGACGATGTTACCTAGTTGGGTCATGAAACGTCTGCAAGAAAGCAACCAACCTCAGAGACCACCAAGGACCCCACAGTTCTCCTCCTCCTCCCCTCCCTTCTAGCATTGACGATGTTACCTAGTTGGGTAATGAAATGTCTGCAAGAAAACCACCAAGCTCAGAGAACACCAAGGTTCCCACAGTCCTCCTCCTCCTCCTCCTCCTCCTCCTCCTCTTTATAAATCTCCCTCCCTTCTAGCATTGATGTTACCTAGTCAGGTAATGAAACATCTGCAACAAAGCCAGCAAAGGACACCACAATTCAACCACTTTAACCCTGGATTATAAATATTCTCTTCTACTGGTAACATCTTCAGTGCTGCCCTGACGACGCTACCCAGCTGGGCAATGAAATGTCTGCATGAAAACAGCAAGATCAGAAAGCATCACAAATTCCGGTTCAACCCTCAGCTACAGAGAATCTTGTTCTATCTATTTCAGTCTGCAGCACACCTGACATTTTAAAAGGTGGACCCAAACCCAAAATAGAGTAGAACCCATTTCAAACAGTTGTAGATACATCTTGTATTAAAAAAAATTCCGTGCATGGTATTATTTCTCTGGCACTATCACCCTAACCCAGAATTGATTTTTCCCGTTCCAGCTATCTTCGGAGACCAAAGTTCATTCTCTCTTTCCCTGGGGCAATTTTGTTTTATCTCAGTTTCACTGGTTTTTTATTGACAGCCCTTTTCAGAGCTACTTCTCACAAAAGTGAATTTCCCCTCCAGAGATAATGCGATAACCTTTCCCCTTTGACAAACAGGATGGCCACAAATTGGAATTGGCAGCACCGATTTCATCTGCCACAAAATGTTTCTAGGTTTGTTTGCTTTTTTTTTTTTTAATCCACCAGCTCTCCAGGATAAGGGAAGTTCTTCACAAAAATACTTTCCTTTCACACCAAAAGTGACCCACATGCTTCGTCACGCAACAAATGCCTACCCCAAGTCTTCTCCTTCTTGCTGAGTCCTTAGAGCAGGGGTCTTCAAACCTGACAACTTTAAGACTTGTGGTTTTCAGCTCCAAGAATTCCTCATGCTGGTTAAGAAATTCTGGGAGTTGAAGTCCACAAGTCTTAAAAGTTGCCCAGTTTGGAGACCCCTGACCTTAGAACAAGGAGACCATGTGAGAATCAGCTGCCTCCAAGAAGGAAATTGCTTTGAAATTTCAAGACACGCCAAAGAATTGAAGTTTCACAATGCTCGGTTTGACTGGAGGGCAAAGTTTTAAGCAAGCAGCAACGTATTCTTGTTCCTGATCCTTTTTTCTGTCTCCTTTGGAAGACTAAAGAAATCCAGCTTTTCCCTTCTTTAGCCCTAAATCTTTACAACAACTCGGCAAAAGGAATCAAGAACAGATTGAGCAAATTGGAAAGCAAATAAATCAGCACGGAGAATGCTTGCTGGAAATAAGCAACAAGGGTGTGCCTTGCAGCTTCTCAAGAGGGTGGGTTCTTACAAAACCATCTGTAGAATTTGACAGGAAGCAAAGCAGACATGGGAAATGCTCTTTTCAGGATGAGATGGAGGGGAAAACACGTAAACAAAAGAAAAGTGGAAAATTGCGCGTTCACTTCGGGAAAGAGTTGATCTTGATTGCATCTCTGGATTTCGCCCTAACTTCAAAACCAACAACACACGAAGTCTGAAGTTTCACAGATCCAAGATTTTGGGGGGGTGTTTCTTCTTTGCCCGGTTATTGTCTGAAAGCGTGCAACGTCACACGCCCTTCCTGCCTCAAGCAGAGAAAAGAACCAAGCGCCAAATTTAGCATCCGACTGTGGGCTTGTTTTCAGATCAATGACGTTTTGATGGCTTACTGGCCAACGGTCAGCTAAAGGTGCATTGTGCAGGCTGTGAAACTTCAGGAAAGCAAAACGGATCAACATTTTCCAAAGCAACAGAAGGCAGGACAAGAAGCAACGGGTGGGAACTAACCAAGGAGAGAATCAACCTAGAAATAAGAAGAAACTTCCTGACAGTGACAACAATTAATCAGTGGAACAGCTTGCCTTCAGAAGTTGTGGGTGCTCCATCACTGGAGGTTGTTAAGAAGAGACTGGACAGCTATTCGTCTGACATGGTATAAGGGTCTCCTGCTTGAGCAGGGGGTTGGACTAGAAGACCTCCAAGGTCCCTTCCAACTCTGATGATATTCTATGTTCTACTGCAGGATGAATAGGGGCCCATTCAAGATATCCATGGAAATAATCAACAGACCACGTTTGACCAAGAAAGTCTCCCTTTTCTTGGCTAGAAACTGATTTCCATCATCACAGCAGGCTTGGGCCAATCTGAGGTGACTCATAAGAGGTTGCACATTAAAAATAGAATTTGAGGAGGACTGGGAGGATTTTTGTCAACAAGCAAAGCAAAGCAACCAATTATTGGGTATTCTGGGCGAGCTCAACTGAACCAAGAAGTGTTTGATTCACGGAAAGCCACGGGGGAAAGTGTTGCAGCTTTCTCATTCATTCCCTGGAGAAGCTGGAAATACATCCCAGGTCTGCAAGGGCATTTGCACTTAGTGAGGTAAGTTGGATGGAAAAAAGAAAATCTGGAGCAGAAATTCGCCAAAGGCGTAAAAAAAAACAAAACACCGAGACCCAGGACTGGGTTCTATGCAATGAAGTTTAATCTGTCTTCTGGTGTCTTGGGATCCATCATCATCATCATCATCATCATAAAGTTGGAAGGGACCTTGGAGGTCTAAGATGACTGACACAAGCCACAATGACGTGTCACGGTAGCAGCTGAAGGACATCATGATGGAGATGTTGTTCCTTAACTCTATTTATTGATTTCCCACTTTTATTATTTTTTTTAAGTAGCTCAAGGTGGCGAACTTATCTAAGGCTGCTTCCTCCTGTTGTCCCTACAACACGGAAGGTTGGACAGAGAACGTGTGACTGGCCCAAGGCCACCCAGCTGGCTTCCATGCTTGGTGGGACTAGAACTCACCATCTCCTGGTGATTGGTCCAAAGTCACTCAGTCAACTTTCATGCCCAAGAAGGAACTAGAACTCACAGCCTCCTGGTGATTGGCCCAAAGTCACCCAGCTAGGTTTCACGGCTAAATCCGGACTAGAACTCACCGTCTCCCAGTTTCTAGCCCGCTGCCTTATTGGTGATCTGGTTTGGCCGAGAGATTTGGGATTGGAATATTTACAAGGTTTGACGTCCAAAATAAAGGTTGCAACCGACTCCTTAAGACCCTTAACTTCAGGTGTCCGGAATTTCAACGGTTCCAACCTCTGGGACTAGTTTCTCGTTGCAAGGCAAGTTTAACAAGAAGAGGCCCTGCGATAAGGATGACAGGGTTCCGCTGGAGAGCCAACCCACTTAGAACCTCACTTGAAGTCTCCAAAGACAGGGTGAATACATCCTGACACATACAGCTTTATGTCTGATCATTCCCTCTTCCCTCTGCCACAAGCCCCGTGTACAAAGACGACAGGAACTGCGATGAAGCAACCCCACCAATGGATGATGGAGTGTTACAGCTGCGTTGTGCATAACATTTCGGCGGGAAGGGCTAGAATAAGCTTCCTCCTTTTCATTTCCGGAAAGACTTATGCAGACATTTCCGGAAAGACTTATGCAGACCCCCAGAAGCTCAAAACTGAGAATTGAGCAATCTCAGCCAGAGATGCAGCTGGTTTAACTCAGGGTCGTCCAACCTGGTCAGTTTTAAGACCTGTGGACTTCCAGAATTCCCAGTCAGCCTATCTTGGCACCCCAGTCGGACCTTTCATTTCCCGTATTTTCCAAGCAACCAAGTCTGGCCTTCAGGATCTGCCAAAAAGACAGTGGGGGCGAACCCATTCTATTAAGCCATCGTGTGCTTTGGGGTAGCACAACGAGGGGAGCCAGCCGGCCAGGTTTACGAACCGTAATCTGGGGCTTAGACCTTAACTCAGCCATCGTGGCATGTCCAGGGTGCAAGGCTGCAGCAAGCCATGGCTTTGCATGGTGTGCCAATTGGAGCGTGACCGCAGCGCCTTATCCTCTGGCCATTCCAAGCCTAACCCAGGTTGCGTTCTCACCAGCAAGGGGGCAGACCAGCTTGACCCATCCTCCCGTGTTTGATCACAGGCTAGCTTTGTGCCGCGGAAGCCACAACCACCCCACACAGGCGGGTGTCAGGATGCCACCGGCTCTCGCCACCTCCGACAAGCACGGAAGGTGCGTTACCCGGTTGGATGAAGTCACGGCTCACCTGTCCTCGTTCCCCCCCCTCCCCCACCCTCAGGGATGCTGGGAGGGAGCATCCCCTCCCCAGATCCAGGGGGCCACCAGCCAGGCCTGGGGGGGGGAGGAGGAGGGGGGCGCATCTGGGGGAGAAAAAGCCTGGGCGAGGAGGGCGCAGGGAGGCAGGGGATCTCCAAGCTGGCGCCCGCGGAAGCCCTCTTGCTCATCGCTGGCCCGCCGATCAGCCTTGCCCTCCACCCGGCTGCGAGAGGAGGACCCCCCCCCCCAAAGGCACCGCGGCTTGGGCGTCCGATCCAGCCCGGTGCGCAGCCAGGAGAGGGAACCCCGCGGGAAGAGGCGAGCGCCAGGCAAGGCAAGGCAGGGCGCGATGCGCGCTTGCCAGATGTGCCCACGTGGCCGCGGAGGGAGAAGGCGCCTCCGCCGCTGCATCCAGCCGCTCCCCTCCGCCCGCTGGCCGCTCTCCCTTGCCCACCGGCGCCCGGCATCCCCTCGCTCACCTCCGGCCCGGCCCCGGCTGCCTGGATCGCGCCTCGGCCGCGCGTCCCGCTTGCTTTCTCCGGCCAGCCCGGCCGCGGCTCCTCCTCCGGCTGGGGCTGCGCCGCCCCTCTCGCGAGAAGCCCGGCCCGGCCCGGGGGTCTCCCNAACCACTAGACCAAACCGGCTCTCTAAACCCTAACCTTATAAATGTTCCAAACTGCAGGTTTTATTTCCAACGTTGGCTGAGGAATTCTGGGAATTGAAGTCCACAGGCCTTAAAGTTGCCAAGGTTGGAGACCCTGATCAAAGAGCAACGTTCCGTTCAAATTGTTCTTCTCCGGGACGCTATTCCTACTGTCCCAAGTGCTGGAGAGCCAACCCACTTAGAACCTCACTTGAAGTCTCCAAAGACAGGGTGAATACATCCTGACACATACAGCTTTATGTCTGATCATTCCCTCTTCCCTCTGCCACAAGCCCCGTGTACAAAGACGACAGGAACTGCGATGAAGCAACCCCACCAATGGATGATGGAGTGTTACAGCTGCGTTGTGCATAACATTTCGGCGGGAAGGGCTAGAATAAGCTTCCTCCTTTTCATTTCCGGAAAGACTTATGCAGACATTTCCGGAAAGACTTATGCAGACCCTCAGAAGCTCAAAACTGAGAATTGAGCAATCTCAGCCAGAGATGCAGCTGGTTTAGCTCAGGGATGTCCAACCTGGTCAGTTTTAAGACCTGTGGACTTCCAGAATTCCCAATCAGCCTATCTTGGCACCCCAGTCTGACCTTTCATTTCCCGTATTTTCCAAGCAACCAAGTCTGGCCTTCAGGATCTGCCAAAAAGACAGTGGGGGTGAACCCATTCTATTAAGCCATCGTGTGCTTTGGGGTAGCACAACGAGGGGAGCCAGCCGGCCAGGTTTACGAACCGTAATCTGGGGCTTAGACCTTAACTCAGCCATCGTGGCATGTCCAGGGTGCAAGGCTGCAGCAAGCCATGGCTTTGCATGGTGTGCCAATTGGAGCGTGACGGCAGCGCCTTATCCTCTGGCCATTCCAAGCCTAACCCAGGTTGCGTTCTCACCAGCAAGGGGGCAGACCAGCTTGACCCATCCTCCCGTGTTTGATCACAAGCTAGCTTTGTGCCGCGGAAGCCACAACCACCCCACACAGGCGGGTGTCAGGATGCCACCGGCTCTCACCACCTCCAACAAGCACCGAAGGTGCGTTACCCGGTTGGATGAAGTCACGGCTCACCTGTCCTCGTTTCCCCCCCCTCCCCCACCCTCAGGGATGCTGGGAGGGAGCATCCCCCTCCCCAGATCCAGGGGGCCACCAGCCAGGCCTGGGGGGGGAGGAGGAGGGGGGCGCATCTGGGGGAGAAAAAGCCTGGGCGAGGAGGGCGCAGGGAGGCAGGGGATCTCCAAGCTGGCGCCCGCGGAAGCTCTTTTGCTCATCGCTGGCCCGCCGATCAGCCTTGCCCTCCGCCCGGCTGCGAGAGGAGGACCCCCCCCCCCAAGGCACCGCGGCTTGGGCGTCCGATCCAGCCCGGTGCGCAGCCAGGAGAGGGAACCCCGCGGGAAGAGGCGAGCGCCGGGCAAGGCAGGGCGCGATGCGCGCTTGCCAGATGTGCCCACGTGGCCGCGGAGGGAGAAGGCGCCTCCGCCGCTGCATCCAGCCGCTCCCCTCCGCCCGCTGGCCGCTCTCCCTTGCCCACCTGCGCCCGGCATCCCCCCGCTCACCTCCGGCCCGGCCCCGGCTGCCTGGATCGCGCCTCGGCCGCGCGTCCCGCTTGCTTTCTCCGGCCAGCCCGGCCGCGGCTCCTCCTCCGGCTGGGGCTGCGCCGCCCCTCTCGCGAGAAGCCCGGCCCGGCCCGGGGGTCTCCCCGCCCGCCGCCGCCGCTGCTCCCCCTGCGCTGCGCTGCGCTGCGCTGCCCGGACGCGCCAGACTGAGCCTGCCTGCTTAGGCTTGCGCTGCGCGGATGCTGGCGGGCTGCTCCCCGGAGGAGAGGCGGGGCGCGCAGGAGAGCTGCGCCTGCAACGCCCGGGCTTCGCTGCTTTTTTTTCCCCCGAATGGGATCCGAGGGCTGTCTCCCAGCAAGCGGGGAAGGGCGAGTTTTTCAGGGCCCCGCAGTTGTCTTGCAAGGGGTTGGCCCTTCTTCTCCTCCCCCCCCCAGGGCTGAGCGAGGGGGGCCGACCCAGGGTCTCTACCTGCTTAAGGTGGGACTAGAGCTCTCCAATCTCCTCGTTTTTAGCCTGGTGTCTTCATGAAGATACTCTCTGCTTATGAATAGACAGCTGGACTAGAGTTTGGGACTAGAACTCACCGTCTCCTGGTGACTGGCCCAAAGTCACCCAGCTGGCTTTCGTGCCTAAAGCAGGACTAGAACTCACCGTCTCCTGGTGATTGGCCCAAAGTCACCTAGCTGGCTTTTGTGCCTAAGGCGGGACTAGAACTCACCGTCTCCTGGTGACTGGCCCAAAGTCTCCAAGCTGGCTTTCATGGCTAAAACAGGACTAGAACTCACCGCTTACTGGTGATTGGCCCAAAGTCACCCAGCTGGTTTTCATGGCTAATGCAGAACTAGAACTCACCGTCTCCTGGTGATTGGCCCAAAGTCTCCCAGCTGGCTTTCATGCCTAAAGCAGGACTAGAACTCACCGTCTCCTGGTGATTGGCCCAAAGTTACCCAGCCGGTTTTCATGGCTAATGCAGAACTAGAACTCACCTTCTCCTAGTGATTGGCCCAAAGTCACCCAGCTGGCTTTTGTGCCTAAGGTGGGACTAGAACTCACCATCTCCCAGTTTCTAGGTGCTTGTACCAACTTGCCATGACTCTTTAGCTCCCCCCCTCCCCTCCCCAAGAGAAGAGCAAGATCAGGCCCTCGATTTGCAAACCCGTTAAGAGAACAAAAGAAAGATCGGTTGAGTCATACACTTTCTGTTAATCAGAAGTTTATCTCCACTTCCCTTTGAGGAATCTATCGGTGCAGATGTGGTTTCCTTTTCAGTGACATCCGTCTCACTGTTGCCCTGTGTGGCAGGCAGGGCGGAAAAAAGGGGGGCACAAGGGCCTTAAGGTGCTCACTGAGCGTTGGGAATTTGAACCCGGGTCTCTAGCTGCCACCCACAGCAGCCAGTTGTTGTTCTCTGGGCCGTCTTTGCTCAGGAGCCCCCCCCCCCCCGTCCCCTTATACCGTCTCCTGAACCCAGACAAATGCATGCTGGAAAAGGCATGGGGGCTTGGATAAATACAGGCAGCCCTCGATATACGACCACAACTGAGCCCCAAATTTATGTTGCTAAGTGAGACGCTTGTTAAGGGAGTTTTGCCCCTTTTTTCACAGCCTTTCCTGCCAAAGTTGCTAAGTGAATCACTGCCGTTACTGAATCCAGCTTCCCCATTTGACTTTGCCAGTCGCAAAAGGGGATGACGTGACTCCCGGGACATCGCCACTCCGTCGTAACTGTGAGTCACTTGCCAAGCATCTGAGTGTTGGTCCAGGGGGACGCTGCAATAGTTGCAAGTCTGAAAAAGGGCGGTAAGTCCCTTTCTTTCGGTGCCGCTGTAGCCGAACGGTCACTGAATGAACTGCCGTGAGTTGCTTACTCAGGGGTGTTAATGTGGAAGACCCCGTGCTACCTCTGTGTTGGGAAGAAGGGTGTGGTGTCATGGTGATGGGAGAGAGGAACATCTCTCCATCTCCTGCTTGTGAGCATCTCCGAAGCATCTGCTTGGCCGTTGTGAGAAATTAAAATGGCCTTAGGTGAAACCAGTAGAGCGGGATTCTCGTTCTCGGAACTGGGTGGGTGGCCCTTTGGTTCAGGGGCCACAGCGAAAAAACCCAGAGTCCCTGCTACCTCCATTCACACAATCCACCAACTTCTCTCCTACTGTCTCTCAGTATCTTGGGGAAAGCCAGTCCTTCTGGGCTTGACTGATAACTATGGTCTCCCTGCCCGTTGCGATTATTTCGGCTTTCCTGGCTTCTTCGAGTGAGTAACGGGCTGCTGCTTCCGATATCCACCAACGGTCTCAACGGGCCCTGGGTGACAACAACAAACAAGTGGCCGGTGTGATATATTTCATGGGGGGGGGGGTAGAACTTCTTTTGTGGGTCCATCAGCAGCAAGAGGGAAGACCGGCATCGCAAAGGACTGCTATCCCCTGCCAGAAATTCCATCAAGAGACCCCGATTGTCTTCCTTCTCCCATCATAAAAAAGACTGCCTCTTTGAAGACTTTGAAGTGTTTCCTCCCCCCCTCCTCCTTCCCCATTCCTTTTCCTTATATGTCATTCCAGAATGCTGCTGTGGGAAACAGAATGTTCCAGCATAATTAACACAAGTCTTCAGCCTCACAAGTTGGGAATTTGTGACCTCAGCAGTTGCTCTTTTTTTCAGCTTGAAGCTCTGGGGAATGGATTTTGCACAATATGCTATCCCCAAACCGAACATCGCACTCCCAGCCTGTTGTGGCTTTCAAGCTTAATTTGAACAAGGACAATAGAGTAGAGGGCCCCATTCATTGGCCGTCAGCTTCCCAGACTAACCTTTGAGTTGTTTCTGGAGAACGTGGCCTTGGGGCTGGTTGGAGTTACTCTGCTGGATGGTGCTAGGTCCCATGTGGTTTACTATCAGGGCCTGTGGTGGGTTTTCTTCTTCCATGGAGAAGAAAAAGAGGGAAGAAGGATTTGAATGGAGACACGGTAGTTGTCTCATCTATGTGACCCTTTCTCTAGTTCCTTTAGCTCAATCTTTTTCCAGATCCTCTCCAGATTAGTGAGACCTATAACTCCCAGAATTCCCAGCCAGCATAGCCATTATCACCGCACAGTACTCAAAGATCATCCCTTCAATCTCATCCCTGCGAACCTCCTAAGGTCTAGCAGTACTACAATCGTGGTTGCAAGACAATTCAGGAGTTAAGAAATCTACATCTCCCTACATCTCCTAAGTTTTGTTGGTCGCCAAGTCCTATTAGTTCCAGCCAGCATGGTGATTGGTCAAAGATAACGTTGTGTCCTACAAAGGTTGAGCCATGGGTTCTTCACCCTTGTTCTAGATCTCTGCAATCAAGCCCAAAGTCTCCCATTAGGTCACGTTCTACCTGTTTGATGTCCAACGGGAAACTTGAGTTTTGTGGGAGCTGGAAAGATGTGGGAAAGATTTCCTGTAGAACCATTTGGGGATTTGGCTGGTGGCCTCTGGCTTCCTGGGCCATTGCTGTCCTGACTGGAGGAGGACCAGTGTTTCATCTGCAAAATCTGTAAGGAGATTAAAAAAAAAGATATTGATCCAGACTGTATTATTAAGAGAAGGATTTCTGATAGCACTCTCACTGGGAGTCATCCCTACTGATTGTAATGTAACCATGGTTCTTCACCTGATGTACCTTCATCTGATAGGTCCATGCTATGCTCATTCTTTGTAAAGCCATCTTACCCCGGAGGAAGTAGGTTCAAGAGGTCCCTTCTTCTCTGTTTTCCTTTCCCAAAATGGCTCTTTGTCTCCTTCATTCTCAACGGGGTGGTGTGTCCAAACTTTCCTCTGGAGCATTCCTCCAAGGCCACTGATGGTGGCCATGCCTTTGGAGAGATGTTCTGGGCTGAAAATGGGCTGCTGCGATTCCCTCTTCTCCTCTCCAAAATAGTGTGCGGAGGAGACCTTCCTGCCAAGATCTTTCTCCTGGGCTTGGGAGCGACGGCAGGCGGCAATCAAAGCAATCTGTTTGGTGCTGTCAACCATCTCCTTCAATGTTTTCAGAGTCAAGGGGACACTGAGGGCATCTGCCCTGGAATTCTTCCGACCGGAATCTTGGGAAGATGGAGAACGTAGCTTGGAGGCAACCTTTCGTGAAGGGATTCCTGAAGTCTTCTTCTAGAAATCAAAGTGGTTACAAAAACAACATGTACACAGGTCCCATTCAAAGGATAGTTACTCTGCAAACCTGGTTGATGATGGACCACGGATGTCATTTATGACTTTCCTTGATATTAAACCATCTAGGATTTCCCCAAATGTGCCACTAGATTCCTGCAAACCGTTAGCTTCTTGAAATTGCTTTTTGTGATTCAAGCAATCTTCTCCAGGGTGAAGTCTCTGCCTCAACTCCTGCTGTCTTCTCCAGCTGTGGGGTCAGAACTTCACCAGCCTTGCTTGGCGCAGACTTCATTGCTTGCAAGGCTGACTCTCTCATAATAAAAAGTGAAGTGCCCCCCTTAAATAACAGAAGTTTGGGAAGGGAGACAAAATGGCATTGGATGCCCGGTTCCTTAAGCTACAAAGTCCCCTAAAATGCATTCTGAGTTTCTCCTTTTTGTATTGAAATAGTTGAAGGATCTATTTGTCCTCCACTTCACCAGCTGATAGTCTTTTGATCTTTCCTTCTTGCTCTGAGTCTTGACTTTTGCCTGTTCTCTACCACATAGCTCTTTCTGAAAGACATGGCCTTGCCGTAAACCAGGGTTCTCCAAACGTGACCACTTTAAGCCTTGTGGACTTCAACTCCCAGAATTCTGGGAGTTGAAGTCCGCAAGGCTTGGAGATGCCAAGTTTGGAGACCTCTGCCATAAACGATGGCATCTACCAGCTCCCCAAAATCCTAACTCTGACAGATAGATCCCGATGAGAATAAGAGATTATAATTCTCATATATATGTCTTCTTTGAACTTCCAGGACATGATAAAACAAATGCAAAGCAGAACAAGCAAAGAAGGGCTTTTGATGGACTCACCTGGTGGACCGGCGTTAACAGAAATACAGTAGGAGTGTGGTTCCAGTCACGAGTCGCCTTCCTTTTTGCCGGGGTGTTTTTAGAGGAAGACCGGTAACTGTCACTAAGAAAATGCAAGGTAAAACACAAAACATGAAACATTGGCAGATGAGTTGGGAGATTCCTTTGGGGAAGGGGACCTGGTCATTGGATTATAGACACGGTTGAGTAAACCCAACACAAAAAAAAACAAATGGAAAATTGAGTTTATTTAATTGGGGCCACAAGACCTTTTGAAGCCCTCCAAGAATAGAGGATGAAAAGTACCATCCTCTATGGGTTCACTTAGAAAGAAGTTGCACAATGTTCTCTTTAGGAATTGTGTCCATCTCCAAGTTGATAGGTGCCATCGGAGTATTTCTGCAATTGACGTTTGCTCTGGAAAAGGAGCTTTCCTCTTTTGACTAAAAGTTGTCAAAGTACCTGTCTGAATCCACAATAATGGGGGGAAGTTCAAATTTGGGCCCTGGAAGGAAAGCTTTCTTGTGATCGATGGATCCTTCTGGATTCTCCTCTCGGTGGCGATCTTGTCTCTGAATCTGTCCAGAATGGAACTATCCCAGAAAACCAAAAAATAAAATTAAAAAAAATGAAAGCTTAGTTTATCAGCTGATGGATGTGTCTCGTGCGAAGTTGACATTACCTAGTGTTGTTTCCATATCACTCACGCTCTCGTTTCGTATAAATTTAATAAGTAAATAACGATACTAACTTCCCCCACTCCGCTCTCCTAAGGAATCCCCATTTCAAAGAAATAGGGGAGAAATTCTGTCTTACCTGCCACGTGCTGGACATCAGCGAGTGAAGCACCATCAGGCGATCCAGAGTCCCTTCCTCTAACTCGTGACAATATAGGTGGTACAGTTTTTCCAGCGGTCCCAGGACTGGAATATTGTGGTCTACAGAAAAGACAGAACGCTTCCAGAGTTGAAGGTTCCAAAGAGATGGCCAAATTCCTTGAGAAACCAAAGCATGTACTGTGACTACAAAGATAAGGGTGATGTAGCCGTAAAATCCCCTTTGGAGAGCAGCCATGACTGCTGTCTCCAGTGCAGTGTGGTTGGAAGCATGATCAGGGAAAGCTCTTGAGATATCAATTGAGGTCCTCCAGTCCTACCTTTGATTAGGGACCATTGCTGTTGAATAAGCTCTTCACAGAGATGCCGGTATTGCTGATGGTGCTGGATGATGAAGTCCTTCTGGCAGAGGAGATTGTCCTTGTACAAAGCATTGGCTTGAAGCTCCGTCTTCCCCACTTCCAGCTCGTGGGTCTTGCACAAGAGGCTCAGAACTTCCCGTTGGTCCTTGCTGGTGGTTTGTTTGGGGAGCATCCTCTCCATCTGGGAGACTTTCTTCTTGGCATTTGCCAACCTCTGCTCCAGGTCAGCCTAAATTAGGAAAGGAGAACATGGAAGTCTCTGCTGTTTCCACCACTGGATGATGGGAACAAAGTTCTCCTCCATTTCTGAAGGGTGGTCTAAATCTTGAGAAGGTTTCAAATGCTAAAGGGAGAGAGGAGCTGTTATTCTTTTGACTCCGTTCCTTTGATGTGGCCTGGAATTTATGTCTACAACATAACAACACCCAAGATGAGACATCAACATTCAACTATATCCCCAGCAAACCTCAACTAACCCATTTTGAAAGTCAGTTCTTTGGGGAAATAAACATTTGATTCCTTAAACAATAACATCATCATTAGATATGTCAGTAAATAAGTAGTGCATTTTTTTTTCATTTGATGAAAACTGCTCCCCGTATTTGGAAAGTAATGAAAATAAGAAGGAGGGGTCTCTGTTCACACGCACGCACACCGAGCTTAGCTACAGAATTCTGAGCCATTACCTGCCATTACCTTTAAGGCAGCCGTTTTCCGCTGCTCTGCCACCAGTGTGCTTATCTCTTCCCTGGCAATTGTGATCTCCACAGGTTCCAGGCAATCTTCCTGATCAGCCACTTCATCTTCCTTTTCACTTGGATGATGTATTTTGGCACTTGGGCCACCTTGGCGAACCCTCTCACGTTCCCAGCTGGAAGGAAGGAAGGAAGGAAGGAAGGAAGGAAGGAAGGAAGGAAGGAAGGAAGGAAGGAAGGAAGGAAGGACATTGTGACTAGATCTGTTCCAGGCTCAGAACCTGGAGGTCTACCTCAGTTCTTCTTTAGTTGGATACACTTGAGTTGACTTCAATGGTCTTAATTACAATATGTGACTGTTCTCCAGTTCTGAATGACCACTTTTCTGAAAGGAAACTTGGCAACCGTTGTTGATTTCTCCTACAAGTTCTCCGTTCGACTGTGATGGATCGAAAGAATCGTTGCTTTGATCTCAAACTCCCTACTGCTTGTCTAAATTCCTCTGCTTAAGCATATCCGGTGACCTGGACCCCCTTGTCTTTATCTGGAATCTGCTTTGCTGGGATTTCCCCTCTCATTCTAATTCTGCTGTCCCTCAACAAATTATAGATAGGTTGCAAAAAAAAAGGTCCTTTGGCTTACTCTGCAATCATGAGAAGGTGCCTGGAGGTATCTACGTGGAGTTCCATGTTGGTATTCTCCAGCTCCATTAAGCTGCGCCGCATGTCCATCTGTTCCTTGAAGGCCCCCACCAGCTGTTTTTGTAACTTCTGCAACTGTTGATGGCCATCCTCCTCGAAGTCCAGAGAAGTCTCCCCTGAGGATGACATGAAAGGAGATCTTTCTACACCTCAACTTTTAAAAAATTACTTTTGAAGCTAGTTTCTACTTTCTAGATCAACCTTGACAGCTTTAAGATGGGTGGACTTCAACTCCCAGAATTCCCCAGCCACCCAGAATTCTGGGACTTGAAGTCCACCCATCTTAAAGCTACCAAGGTTGGTAAACACTTCTCTAGAATGAAATATTATACACACTAAGTATAAACCCTGGTTCAACAGAGTCAGGGTTATTTCCAAGGAGCCATCTAGGGCTAATTGAGGGGTCCTGCTTCCACCCTCCAATTTTTTTTTTGCAAAGAAGTTGTAATTTTGCAAAGATGGGTTCCTTTAATCTTCCTTCTCGCTCTTTTCCATGTCTTTCTTAGCAATCTGGTGGCATCCCTTGTACTGGCATCTCAGAAATATAGGAACTGTTTTAAGAAAACCGCAAAGTGATTTAATGCAGAGAAGAGGCCAATATCTCACCTTGACCTTGTCCGTCTTGGGCCCCAGTACTCAAGAGATATTTCTCCTTCTCCTGGTTTTCAACCTTAGCCTTCAAGCATTCAATCTCACGCCGGAGATCAGAAATGATGCTGGTATACTGAGCAATATGGTAAGAGACGTTGAGAAGATTACGCTTTACCTGTTGATCAAGCATCCCAATAATACTAATTAATATTAAGGAGAAGAACAAAAAGAAACCAGATTGGGAAGAATCATGATATTGATGATGCTCTGAGGCTCTTTAGCTCAAACTTCTGTGTCTGGTCTCTCTTTGGATCCATGGTCCATTGAAACACATGTACCACACCTAGTAGCGACTGCCAACTGGATTTTCCTGAAAGTGGGGGCCCTCAGAAATGAGGAAACTTCTCTATGGAAGGATGATGCTTGTAGAGCCCCCGTCTTTCCAAAATTATTACAAAATAAAAATTCTTTCCCTTCCATTCAAATAACTACAAGTCTAAAGGAGAATTCTGCTCGCTACCTGTAAATGGGTATGGAGGTACCGGTAACCTCAAAGAAAGAAAGCACGAACTGTTAAGTCAACATCAACTTAGCCCCAGGAAAGAAGAGCAGGTAAGAAAGAAGTTCAATATAAATCCACTTTGATTCTGTTTTGTATGCGATGGAGCAGAAGGATAGTCTGGCAGGTTTTCAAAAGCCAGTTATACCTTCTAACAGTGAAGTAAGAGTTCTAGTAATCTTTGCATTTGTCTTTTCTCAGATCTGGCCTACCTTGAAGGCTTGACAGTTAGTTCAAAAGGGAATTCTGTAATGTCGGAAATCCGAATCAATTTTGATTTAAAGGTAAGCAAGCATTGGCGGCGTCGTTCTTGGTTCTCCTTGTTATCCTTAGATTGCCAGTTTTGGGATGTCAGCCACCAGCACTTGTGCCTGTTTATTCGTTTTATTTTTATCGATTTATTAAATTTCTGACCTGCCCATCTTATCTAAGCCAGAGATCCCCAACCTTTGGGGCACCAGGGACCGGTTCCATGGAGAAAGGTTTTTTCCATGGACCAAAGAGTGTGTGGTTTTGTGTGCTGTCTGCATTCCACAGATGGGGCTTTGCTTGTTTGTGTGGACTGGTTGCTGGCATGCTGTGGCCCAGTACCGGTCCATGGACCGGGGGTTGGTGACCCCTGATCTAAGAGACCATTCTTTCTCTCTTTTACCCTCGTTTTGATGTTCTTGGCTCGATAAGCGTACATCAACGTCGTCCGAGATTCTTCAAAGCAGGTGCTGGCGGGACTGATGTGGACGATCATAACCGTCCTGCTGTTGCCTCTTAGGGAATCCTAAAGAGATGAGATTCTTGTGAGTATCTCAGAGCCAACAGAACTGAATGACAAGCATCCCACTGGTTGAGACAGCAAAGGAGACTGACTCCCTGGGACATCTTTTACCAAGAGTATAGCTTCACGGAAAATTCCATGGCGGCACAGAAGTGGGAAAACCAATTCTAACATTTTTTGCGCGCAAAAATATCTTTCACCTTATCATCTTTTTCCTACCTCCAAGCAACCCAAAGCATCTAGAGGTGGGTACAGGTATCCTTCACAGGTGGCTTGTTACCTTCAACAAACGGGTCAGTTTGCTGTCTCGGAAATTGATGTATTGAGTTCTGCCTCCCCCCTTTTCGCTCAGCGCATTGATGCAGTTCCCCAGAGCAAGGAGGGACCGGTTGATATGGGCCCCCTCCTTCATCCTTTTGCCCTGGTTTTGGGTCTGGGGAGAAGGAAAGAAGAGGTTAACTTTTGCACCAGGAAAAAAAACCACACACGCAAGAATGATCTAGCGGTAGATGGTGTAGGACATTTGGTGATGAAAAGTTCTCTGGAAATCAGATAGGATCGTTTTAATGCAGGGGTTCTCCAAATCCCTCTTGAAAGGTGAATTTTAACTAGAACTAGGAAGCCATACATACTCCTCTTAGTAGATCCTTATTCACCGAATGGTTGACTCTTCAGTATCCAAACATGTGCCAGAGCCCTCAGTTACAAAGCTTGTGATCAGAGCAAGAAGAAGGAAGTTTAGAGAAGGCCGTATTAAGCCAGGACCACTGAGAGGTGGAATATTGATAGCATAGAATATTTGTAGCTCAGGGTTGACCTGTGGGGTCCTTGGTGGTCTCTGAGTTTGGGGGCTTCCTTGCAGATGTTTCCTGACCCAACTAAATGACGTTATCAGGATTAGAAGGGAGTCGGGTGTGTGGAGTGGAGGGGTCCTTGATGACCAAACTAGATAACATCATCAGTGCTAGGCAACATCCCTGGGCAGAGAATGGAAGGATGGTTGACCTCACCTGAGCAGCCCTTTCTGATCCAGCCAGGTCAACCATGAAGAGCTTTCCGACACGCACTTCCTCACCGATGCCTTTCACTCGAGTGGTCTGCTTCACGGACACTTGCAGGACAGCATGTGACCGTGAGGAGGTCTTATTAGCAGCCGTGGGCTCCTGAGTACGTTCCTTGTTCCCTTTGGTCAGCAACTCCATAATCTTTAAAAGACAAACAGGTCTGTATGTCTACAAAGACAGGAGGATATTTGAAAGCCAAAGAACCTGCTGGAATCCTTAGGAGACCCAGATAATCTTGTCCTTAACTCCGATTCATCAGAACTTAGAAAATGGAGACCCTTGAATGTTCATGGCAAGTCTTGACTTAGAACTCCGTTTGACAACAATCTTCCTTGGACTGTCTGGATCAACTAGAGAGAGAGACTTCTTGCAACAGGCTTAATTCCTGTGTACTGCCTTCTTGGTGATACTTACTTCCTGGGCATTTGTCGTTGAGACTTCTGTTATGCCTGCAATCTGTATGCACCCTTTGGAATCTTCTCTCAGCTCAAGATAGCCTGTGGACGGATTCAGGAGATCACGGATAATTTCATTATAAACCTGAAAGCAAAAGGGGAGAAGCGAGGATACTAAGCTGCCTCTTTGCCCATCTGGTTCAAAACTGCTTACTAAGGCTTGGTATTCATTCCTCCAGAGTCTGGATCTTTCCCATCAGTTGCTTCTGGATCCCCTTTTCTCCCTAAAAATTCAACTGGGTCATTCTCACGTAAAGTGGGTGGAGGACCCAAGGATGGGGCTTCTCCCTAGAGGGGTAGATGTTTCCTTTTTGTGGAGAAGGGATCGGGAAGATTTGGGGTTGGTTTGATTTCACTCCTACTACCCCATCGGATGTTCCAAGCTAGGTCTCTTCTCGCTTGCTAACCTCTAAACGTGGTGATCTCACCTCCAGGTACGACATGTAGACCAAGTAATTCCGCTCGTCTCCTGTGGCCTCAATGGCTTGAAAGAGATCGTGGAGGGTACAGATGTATATTCCAGGTTCTGAATCCGTCCCCAGCATAGTGTAGGTTTTCCCAGCCCCTGAGAGAAGGAGGGAGGAAAGGAAGGGAGGAAGGAAGGAAGGAAGGAAGGAAGGGAAGAGAGAGAAGGGATGGAGGGATGGAGGAAGGAAGGAATGAAGAGAGAGAAGGAGGGAGAGAGGGAGGGAGGGAAGGGATGAGAAAGAAGGGAGGGAGGGAGGAAGGAAGGAAGGGAAGAGATGGGAGGGAGGGAGGGAGGAAGGAAGGAAGATAAATGGATATCCTCAGTTCCAGTTCCAACTGGTACGTTTTGGGTGGAATTCATAAAAGAGAGAATAATCCCAACATGGGCAAAAAGACAGAGCTATTTACCTGTGGGTCCATAGGCAAAAATGGTAGCATTGTATCCCGAGATGACCCCTTCTATGAGGCTTTTAGTAGTGGACAAATACACCTCCTCCTAACAAGAATAATAGGAGACAAACAGGGGTCCTTTCAACACCACTTGTATTCCTGCCTTTAAGCTTCTCAAGGCCAGCTACAGGTTTCAACCACCAGATTACTATATTGTGACATGGTTTGAGTTACAACTCATAGTATTTAGGCTTCTTTTTGGTATCGTCCTTAAGCAATGACCCGTAATTGAACTTGGCAATTACGGTCGTAACTTGTGATGGTCGTAAACCAGTTACATTGGGGGGGGGACAAACCCATCATCCTCAGCCGTTCTGGCTCAGGATCCCAGAGCATGTCATTGTATGAACACATCTTTGTGTTAGTTGTCCAGTCCACCAAGGGACAGCACAGCTTCCTTGCCTCTTGTTAGGACTTTTCCATTACCAAATATTTTGACACTTTCATGGTTCGAGGAGGTTTTTGCCTCTCCGGATCAACAAGCCACATCTACTTTTTAGCACATTTCCTTAGCACCTCTGGAGTCCTTCTTCACACCCTTCAGGAGTGTGAAAAGATTTGGCACTGCTTAGGTCTCTTAATGAAACTCCAACATCAGCAGAGCAGAGAAGGTAGCTTTTGAATCGTTTGTGAAGGGCAAGTGGAAAAATCTTCTCCTCCTTCTCCTTCCCTCCCTTCTCTCAAGTATACTATTTTTACACATCTATCTGAGCAGACAATATGCCTAGCAATTCTCAAAATTGTAACTCCAAACCATCCTATTAAAGAAAGCTGATACTGTTTTTGCGTCATCCTACTTGAAGGAGGGACGGTGTTCTTTCCTTTCCTTTTTAATTGTAACAAGCTCCTGCTTTGTTTGAATAACCAAATGGTCACCGTGGGGCTTTTTTTTAAAAAAAAATAATTCTCTTTCTTCCATGGAAACTCAAAATGAGGCACGCACATGCCGAATTGGCCCCAGCAGAGTAAGCTTCCAGAGCTACTGGAATATATGTATTCATACTGGAAATTTTTCAAGAGCGGTACCTAGCCTCCCCAGTAAACATGACTTCATTTCTCCAGAGTGTTCCAACTGTTAAACTTCACCGTGGGTTTAAAAGGCTATAATTTCATCCCCAGAGACTTAAGAGCAAAGGTACAGGATGAATACGAGAAGAAGTTGAGAGCAAATTTACATCAGGAAGAGTAAAAGGCAGATGAGAGCATTTCAAGCATCTTCTTTAACATTAGAGGCAAGGACATCCAATATAATATTTAATATACATAATATAATATAATATAATATAATATAATATAATATAATATAATATAATATAATATAATATAATATAATATAATATAATATAATATAATATAATATAATATAATATAATATAATATAAAATATAATATTATAATATAATATAATAATATAATATAATATAATATATAATATAATAAATATAATAATATAATATAATATAATATAATATAATATAATATAATATAATATAATATAATATAATATAATATAATAATATAATATAATATAATATAATATAATATAATAATATAATATAATATAATATAATATAATATAATATAATATAATATAATATAATATAATATAATATAATATAATATTTCATAATCTCACTCATTTCCGATCAAGAGGTAGATCTGTACTGATAAATGCAGATGAGGATTTAGGCTTAGATCAATTCTGAATGTGTTCTGGAGGAGAAGAACCAACACATATGTGCAGTCATGTGCAAAAGAGGTGGGCTTCAAATCCCAGAATCCCCCAGCTAGCATAATTCTGGGAATTAAAGTCTACTCATCTGAACGTTGCCAAGGTTGAGAAACAAGTAAACATCTCCTATATTTTTAACTTCACCTCCTATTCAGATAAAATGTCTTGAGATTTACATCTGTCGAACAAAATGTAAATTCTCTCTTGGATGCTTATGTAGGAAACATCTGCAGGAGCTTCACCCAGCCATCAGTTGCCTTCAAGACAGAGTAGGACAACATCAATGTTGCTTGGCTGATAGGAGGTCTTCCTAAAGTTACTAAGCAGTACATTTAAAACTAGCATGAAATAGGATTTGGAAGAGGGGAAAAAAAGAGAAACTGGTTAGATTAGCAGTTTCCAAGTTATTCAGCCAAGAAGGACCTCCTCACCTGTGTTGCTTGAGGACCAAAAACCACGTCAAAAATGAATGTTTTCTCCCTCGATCGATTGGCACGCAGGATATCTTCTGGATCTTCTGATGGATCCATCAGGACCATGATCTATTTCAGAGAAGTAGATTCAGTTGTTGATAGCCATGACGCCAGCACCAAATTCCCTAAAACCATAGCACTGGAAAGGGTTCCAGGAGATCATCCAAACTCAATCATTTGCAGTTATGCTGTCCTTGATGGAGAGTTTACAGAAGTGTTTTCCAATCTTTAAGATGGGTGGACTTCCGCTCCCAGAATTCCCCAGCCGTGATGCTGGCTGCGAAATTCTGGGAGTTGAAGTCCACACATCTTAAAAGTAATGGAGTTTGAAGAAGAAAAAAAACATTGCTTGAGATAAATGTATTTGCAACTCTGGTGCCTAAGTAAGCTCGGAATTGCTTTTCAGAGTGAGATGGGTAACATATAATTTAAATAAAACAAATATATTATTCGGGATCCAATTTCACCAGTTTCTGCAGCTTTCTTCATTTCCATGGAACCCAGAGCCTCACCCCCGTTCTTCCTCCCTCACCCTCTCACCTGCTCCCCCGTTCTGTGGCCAATGACCGTCGCGCCTTCCTCCAACTCAGCTGCATTGATGGGGCGAATACGGAGAGCCACCTGCAAGCGAGACCAAGAATTGGGATTTCCAGAACTTTGGAATCCCTGCAAGGCTCACACTCGCAATTCCTGCACAACCTCCACAGGCACAGGTGTTCAAGGTGTCCATTTTCAAAAAAAAAAAATAGCATGCCACCTTTCTAAGGGTGGTAGATGGGTTGAATTGCCTTGCATTTCATCACATGAACAGAGATAGAGGTGGAAGTAGACCGTCAAGATGGACCATCAGGTAGCTTTGTTGTTTGAACTGGACTCATCCTGCACACATTTGTGCCCAGATTGGAATGGAAGCCGAGCCCCTGTGGGGGGCATCTTCTGTGTCAGCCCCCCTCCTCGTTTAAAAGCACGACTAACTCACAAGGATGAGGTAACGGGGAAGGACAGGGACCGTGATCCACCAGCTCTGAAGGACTTACCACCACCTGGTGTTCTTCTGTTCTCAGGTCCTTCATAGTAGCCGAGCCCCCTGAAAATCCCCTCCTCTGGGCTGCACCAGGAGACACGGAGGGTGCCAAGACACCCATCTGGCAGTCCTCAACCAAGCAATTTGCAAGAACAGGAGGAGGAAACGAAGGAGCAGCTTGCAAGGGAGAAAGAAATGGCATTTTCCCAGGGGGTGGAGAACAGGTGATGCAAGACAGGTGCAGGGGAGGTGCAAGGAATCGGACCGATCACAAGGAAAAAGGGGTTTTTTTGATCAGCCATGTTGAACCCCCTGGATTTGTTAACCACTGAATGACGGCCTTCAAATTTGGATGGATGGTTTGAAATCCACGACACGGCCTTCAACTTTATTCATTTGGTGTCCCTGTTCTACTAGATTTTAAAAGTGATTAGTAATGCCAGCCTACAAAGCACATCTCTAGACGCGCACCAGATGCCATAAAATTCAGTCTGTAATTGTTCAACAGCTCCCATTTCAAGTTAAGAGAACTTTGAAATGTTCCCTCCACACAAACTGGAACTTGACAACCTGAACTATTTGTCTGAAATGGTATAGGGTTTCCTGCCTGAGCAGGGGGTTGGACTAGAAGACCTCCAAGGTCCCTTTCAATTATTATTGTTGTTGTTATTGTTCCCAAATGGTGTGACCTCAGAATTTTGCACATCTCTGCACACGCACCCATGACATCCCTTATGGATTTTAGCATCCCAGCGACAGCCTCAGAAAGCAGGGTAGGGAGTGGGGCTAACCCTAACGAACGCATTGATCGGAGCAGGGATAAGCTACGTTTTTTTTTTTAAAGCCGACGGCTTGAATAACACACGGCAAACAAGACAGCAGAGACGATGCGTGTTGGCTTGCTTTATTTCCAATGTACAACCCATGGAGAGATCCTGTCACAATCGGAATGGGAGAGTCGAGTCCACCGCGGTGCAGCTTCAACACAACCAGTCAACCCTGGAAAGGAGAGCCGTCCCGGCTGGCCTGCCTCTGGGTCACACCGGCCCCCGCCGGTGCAGGACGCAGCAACCGTCCTCGGCAACACAGGAGCCCTGGAGTTTTCCCCCCAAGATCCTGGAAAATGTCTCTTGGCTGCCTTTGGGCGGGGAGCCATCCCTGATGTTCCGAGAGCATTTTAGCAGCAGCAGCTCATTCCGGTGGTAAGATTGCTAAAGGTTAGACTGAACCCTCCCCCATAAAGTAATACAAAATTAAAAGCAGTGCCTTTCGAGGGAGCCCAGAGGGGGATCCCGTTGGGGACCAAAAGGCACTACAGTTATGTCAGAATGAATGGATCCTGTGCAGTCACCGTCCAGAGAGAAAAAAATATGGATTTAAAAAACTTCCAAAGAGGAGGAGATCTCCTGAAAAGGAACAACTCTCTTCTCAGGACGATCGATGGGGGTGCTGTAAAGAGAGAGAAGAGGGTGAGCACTTTGGGACCCGCGATTTCCCGGCCTACCCTCCTTTTTTTTTCTTTTTTTCACTGATGGGTGGGCCAGAGGAAGGGTCCTTACCACGGCTATGGGGCTACTCGGCCTCTGTCACTGTGATAATTTCTTCATTGATAAAAAATTCAACGGTCTCCTCCTCCCAGTCGTCCACGTTGCTGTCCAGCTCGTCTGTGTCGACTCCTGGAAAGAAGGGAAAGTTCAAACGAGACGATCTGAAGACAGAACTACGCTGGTCTACGGCTGCAGTAAAGATCTGGTTTGATTTGAAGACAGAAATCTTGTTCTTCAGTTGGAAAAATGCAGCCAGGGAGGGTTCTTAGCCACCTTCCCAATGCAATTTTATGGTTTGGTCACAGACTTGTTTTCTTAACATCCCTCTAATTGGATCAGTCAGGATGATAAAGGCCTGACATGGACCGTTCAATATTATATAACTCCCCCAACTGCGCTCTCCTCCTCAAAATAAACCTGCATAATCTCGCTTTCAGGCCAGGGGCTCTGCAACATTTGGGGTCTCAGCTCCCAGATCCAGGCTGGTCACGTACATTTCGAAGCTAAGAGACAGCGCTAAGACAAGCCATATGGTTTCCTGTCTTACGTACCTCCTCGGAGCTCCAAACGCTCGTTCCTCTGCTCCATGTACAGCTCCTGGGCCATCTTGCGGTATTTTTTGAATTCCTCCATCATTGTTCGCCGTCTGTCGACCAGTTCCTGTAAAAAAAACAACGAGGGTCATTTAAACTATCCAGCTGACCACCTGTCCAAAGCTGCGGTCCCAAATACCCGTCTTGTTAAGTATTTCCATGGAAAATGTCATCCAAGTCATTCGGCCCAGCTAAATAGACAAAGGGCTGGGGCTCCACACAAGAAAACCAGTTAGTACATTCCTAATGGAGGGGAGGGAGGTTGATGGGGGCCAAAGTCAGTAGCACACTTGACCCATATGGCCCCAGATAATCTTCGTACTCCCCAAGCAATTTACCTTGGAGGCTTTCGATTGGCTCAGGCGATCTTTCTGTTCAAATATTTTGGAGTATTTCTTCAGATCTTTCTTGATTTGCTGCAAGGAAAAACAAGAGAAATGCTTCACATCGGAAAGGGCATGTATGCAGAGATAAACCACTCTCTTCAGCCAAGGAAGGTTTATCCAGGGATGTAATTGTCACTAGCTGCTCCGCAGATCATCGGGGATTTAAATGAAGCCGTCCCTTCTCCACCTCCCTTTTGAGAAGTGTTGTGACTCCTTTTTTTGCAACAGCCTTCTTAAAATCCTCCAGTGGCTCCTTCCAGTGGATTTCTACCCTTAACCTCAAAGGAGGCATCACCTTTATTTGATCCTGGGTGAGCAGAGTTGGCGGCCTGGGTCTCCATAGCAACTGGCAGAACCGGTCTTTGTTATTTTTCTGGAGGAGGCGACCCTGGAAAGTCCACAGCCAGTAGGCATTGTCCACCTAAGGAAGAGATTTCTGGTCTGGTGAGGGCATCTAAGACAAATCCTTCTGCAGCAGCTGGAACTCAGCATCCCAGCACTTAGAGGGGGAAGCCACAGCAGCCTGGCTGGCATGTAATGTGTGGAGTGTGATGTTCTATCTAGATCAAGGATGTCTAACTTTGGCAACCTTAAGACGTTTGGACTTCAACTCTCAGAATTCCCCAGCCAATTAAAGACCACACGCCTTAAGAGTGGCCAAGGTTGGTCGCCCCTGATCTAGGCAGATGAACTGATCTGGCTGCTTGCCAAGACAAAGGAATATGACATGCCCAGAATCTTTAATTTACTCAGACAGGTTGGCAAACATGGCATCCACAAGAAAAACTTAAGTAACCACAACCAAGCCTGTGCAGGAGAAAAAAAAGACCAGGAGACACGGCCTCCAGGTTACCTTGTGACTCCACCAAGACACAGACGTCACCAAGTAGCGGCCGGTGGGGTCCCATTCCACGTCCGAGGCTGTGTAATGCTCAGCAATGTTCATCATGGTGCAGTCAGAGGTATCCACAAAAGCTAAGGCACCATTCATGCTGAACAGAGGGAGAGAGGAGAGACAGATTATCCCACTTGCCTCCTTCGACGTTTTGGCCAAGCTGGGAAAAAATTCTCCTAGAACTTCATCTCCCTAAATCTGGGTTTAGGTTACAGACTGTGCAAGCTTCATTGGGGAGCCTCCCTCGATGGAATGTAGTGGGGAAGGGGGTTCCCAGGAGGGAAGGGCTGGAGTGGACTAAGAGGCAACTCAGCCCACAGACCGGTGCGTGAGAGAAATGGAGGGTGAGGGCAGCCCCTCCTCATAGTTCCCAGAGTATATCATAGATGCAGATAGTAGAGACTTCAATCTGGCAAGGTTTGGTCTACAGGTGTGAAACAATAAGGAACTCAGTTTGGAAGATTCACACGTATCATTCTTGGTTTGGGGCCTGAATAGAAATCCAGGGGTTGGGATCCGCTGACTTCTACATGAAGGGAACTTCAAAGGGGCCAGTGTGTTCCTATTTTTCAGGAGAAAAACCTTAGTATGTGTATTTTCACTTTGATTCTAATCATCTGAAATAAGCTACGTAGGTGATCATGGAAGTGGGATACCACTTTTTTTTTTAATAAAGCTTGCAAACCAAGGTAATCATTTAAATCTTCCCCGAAGTTGAGTGCTCACCTTCTGAGCCCAGCCAACACCAGAAACTGCCCTTGAGGGCTCCAGAATATCGTGTTTGCCTGCTGCTTGTCAAAGATTTCTGAGATAAAAATCAAAAACACGGAGCTGATTCGACTTTCAAATAGCGGAACAGACACGCTAGAGTAACAAGGCGGGAGTCATCTCCAGCCCCCTGCTGAGGCTGCTTCAGAAAGTTTAACACTCAAGGATTAAGATCTTAAAATAACACTGGAGCATAGCAGCCCAATTTGTCACCACCCATCAGGCAGTTCTCCGTTTTAATCAGATGCTCGAACTATTTGGCAGACTCAGAGGTTTAATTTATGCCGGCAGTTTCAAGACAGTGCTGAAAACCCACCGGCATTGTAGCTTTTAACAGGGTCACTACAAAAACCCACTTCACAGAAAGCTCCATTTTCAACTGTGTAATTGGAGAGATTATGCCACTGTTTCCCTGCCCCACTTGGGCCCAGATAATTCACAATGCAAAAGTATGCCAACACTAGTAGTCAGCTGGGGGGTGGTGAGGGATGTTGTGGAAAATGCTTTCTTTTATACACGTTTAGGATTTTAGGGTAATAACCAACTTTAGGTAGCTGGGAGCAGGATGTCAAGAAAACAAGGAACAAAATAAGAAGCAACACACACACACACACCCCCTCTGAAAAATGGTCCCCGTTGCATTTTGCCTCAGTTGAAGATCACAACAAACTCAAAAGCAGCACCACACTGAGCATATGCAAATTCCACTTACTAATAAGCTCTATTTTCCCGTTGTTCTTCACGTGATAGAAAGAACAGGATATCCGGGGCGTCTCTCCATGCAGCACGGCAAACTTGCTTCCGTTTGGCTCCCAAGCAAAGGCTATGATGCTCTCTGCAAGGCAGGAAGACCCTATCAGTTGGGACTAGGGACCCTCTAAGCGAGGCATCCCAGGCACTTAGGGTGGAATATGTTAGACAGGGCTTAACCATTACATCAGTGGCTCAGTTCAAAATTCTCTATGCAAAGCAGCAAAGACTCCAGACCTGCCAGATCTAGTGGAAGATAGCCAATTGTCTCTCGTTAAAACATAAACCAGATGTGTTGCTAATGGCTGGTAAGTTGCTGCAGAAGTAAAGCATGTGGTGTTAGAGCTGTGGTGGCGCAGTGGTTAGAATGCAGTATGGCAGGCTGACTCTGCCCACAGCCAGGAAGTTCGATCCTGATCGGCTACAGGTTGACTCAGCCTTCCATCCTTCCGAGGTCGGTAAAACGAGGACCTAGATTGTTGGGGGCAAATAGGCTGACTCTGTAAACCGCTTAAGGGAGGGCTGTAAAGCACCGTGAAGCGGTATGTAAGTCTAAGGGCTCTTGTTACTGCTATACTGAATATGCTTTACTTCTGATGTATCTAATATACTCCAAATCACCTCCTAAAAGGTGCTAGGAGCAATTCAGCTGGGAAGACAGCAAGCATGATTGTTTGGGGGAATCTTGCACCAGCGCACTGAAGCTGCAGAAAACGAGCCCTTAATTTTACCTTTCATTTCCACCACATCAACCGGAACCTGTTTCTCTCTCATGCGGAAGATTTCGAAGTTGGTCACCACACCCTGGGAGGGAGGAAGCAAAGCATGATTGATCCAAAGGGGGACTTCGCCAAGAATTTTATCCTTGCGAATTAACGTGCATCACAAACTGTTTATCTAAAAAAGCACGATATGCAACTTAATAGGGCTCTTGTGAAGACAAAAGCTGAATGACGTGTTGGGCTTGAAAAGAGGGCTTTATGTCAGATACAAGACACAACGAGGGGGTCACATCTCAGGTCTGTGCTGAATGGGACTGGACGATTGCAGAAAAAAGATTGCTTAATACCAAACACCAAAAAACTAAGAGTCACGTGATCCCGTTTTGGGTACTTGGCAACCAGCCTGGATTTGCAGCCGTTTGCAGCATCACGTGAATGATTTGCGACACTTTTCACTGGACGCTGGTGCTTACTTCCAATGTCTGGCAAAGAAACCCTTTGAGAATATGGTTCGCTTTAATGATCGTCGAAATTTGCTTAACCACCACCACAAAAAATGTCATGCGATGATCCACTTAATGACCAGCGTAAATTACATCTGTTAATTCCAGGCTCCATTCAAGTCCTAAGTCAAAGACTACCTGTAATAATTAAGGGAACCTTAGCACACCCCAAGAGGAAGCAAATATTCTCAGTTTTACCAGCCTGCTTAAGAAGCAAATACCTGGGTGCCCTTCGGGGTCCTGTCCACTTTCACACAGAGGTAATCCCCGTTCTTCTGCCAATGGAGTTTGCAGTCTACCACGTTGAACAGGTTGCGTACTCGGATCTCCTGCCGGGAGGGGAGCTGCATCAGGGTCACCCTCGCCGGGATATCTTTGTCTTCAGGGACCCAAAAGGCAATTATGTTTCCTCCTGGGGACCAGGAGAAGTCACTGAGGGGTGGTAAGAAAGAGGCATCTCAAAGTTGAGAAGACGCATTCCAAAAACAGCCACCCAACCCATACTGTGAAATCTATTTCTCGGGGGGGGGGGAGCTCCTTTTTAGGAAAGGCACCGACTTCTTCATACAAGCAGAATCAAAAGGAGAGCACTCACCTGATCCCTGTGATTTTCAAACTTTTCTTATCCAGCAGGCCCATGGACTAGAACGGGAAAAAAAAGACAACGTAACGAACCTGCAACTCACACCGAGATGATATTGAACATAGAGACATTTTTCCCGCTAGAAAGGGATACTCTTAAGGTCCCCAAAAACGTTGGTGTACATCCCTGAGCCTGGGAATGCCTCTATGAGTTCATTTATATCTAAAAATAAATAAAAGGATCGGGCGAAAGCGTCACGGAAGGGAAAAGAGAGGGAGGAAGATAGAGCTAAGCATGCACTTTTTGTGCTCATGCTTTTGGGTTAAGATGTGATCAGACTTACAGGCGTCTCGTAGATGCTAAGAGTATCAGGTGTCATCCGGGCGAAGAATTTGCCATCGTGGCTCCACCTGAGCAAGACAAATTTCAAAGGTTTAGAGAGAGGGGCTCTTATATTTCCCAGCAGTCAAAGTGTAGCCCAATCGTTTTTACAAACATACTTAAATATGGGCCAGTGGGCGGAGCTTTCACAGTGGAACCCTCGTTTCTTCTGTCCAGTTAGGATATCCCAAATAATGATGGCTTGAGGATCATCCTGCGTGTCCATCAGGGGGCTGAACGTTACCAGGTATCTTCACAAAGACAATAAAACGGATTGCAGGAATATAAATGCTACGATCCATTTAGTGCTGGTTTTAGCAGGCAGGATTACTTCAAACAACCACGAGTCGGCATCAAAGCAAAGCTTTTCATTCAGAAAAGACAACACAGGTAGACAACAATTGAGCCCAAAATTTCTGTGGTTAAGTGAGTTTTGCCTTGAGCCGGTCAGGATTGAACTCTTGGCAGTGGGCAGAGTCAGCTTGCAATACTGCCTTCTAACCACGGGCGCCACCAAGGCTCTTTGTTAGAGATTGAGATGAGATACAATTCAAAGCAGTCACCTATCTAGAGTCAAAATTCTCCATAAAGAACAATGCATGGTGCGACACCCCCAACTGCTTTAATCTTTTTGCACATAAAGCTGATAGGCACGATGCCAACAGTTAATCATCTAAGACCGTGCACAGCAGACTGGAGTGATTCCAAACAAATCACGGTACAGATGCCTCCATGACCAGTCCATCTTCACCACAAGGTTATCACAACCACAGTTAAATAATCAAGGCAAGAGGCCCAGGGGGTGCCAAGAAACTGTGAACGTAAAGAGATTTCCATAAAGGAGAATGTAAAGAAAGCAAACATTACACACTCTACATTACTACACATTTTGCAATCCAGCGACAATCTATCAACAAGCAAGGGTGCTCGGTCTTCTGAAGCGCTGACTGCTAGCTAATTTTCAGGAATACCTTTCGCAAGGTGAGAAGTCAATGAGCTGCACCCCCGGGTGGCTGAACCTCTGGATCTGCTTGAATTTCTCTCCACCCCACAGGGCAATGCCCCTCTGATGGAATGTAGCCAGGTAGGTCCCCCTTGGAGACCAGCGCACGTAGGTTTCTGTCCATCGCTGCGGGAGGAGAAACCTAGATTAATTGGGCCAAACTACATTTAAACACTGAAGTATAGAAACATTTTATTTCCAAAACTTGGCATGGAATTTTAAAAATTCTATTTTAATAGGAAGGGCACCAAAATCATGTGCCAGAACTTCCCTCGTCACAGCTAGCATGTTAATGTTGTAGATAATTTAGTAGAAAATTGGATATCAAATGCAAAACAGACATGATCTGCTAAACATGATCTATTTTGGCCAAGTGGAAAATCCGTTAAATCTGGTGAATAAAGAACATCTGACATCAGACAATGTTTGCCCTTTGTTTTTCGACAAAGGTGTTCATTCTGAAAATAGGAATCATGTAAGGACGAAACACATTTTCTCTGGCAAAACCCACTTGTGACTGATGAAATTCATGGCTCAGTTCACAATGGCTATTATGTTCTTATCATCCTCTTCTGTGCATCAATTAAACCATTTAATTTCATCACAGATATGGCATTACTTCTTACAAGCTGCTGGCACACAAAGCATTATCAAGAGAAACTTGCTCCAAACACTCACAGGTCTCTCTTCAATTGTAACAGGATCTTTAACATCGTTCCAGTATATAGTGGTTCGATCTCCAGATTCAAAAATTACACTATACTGATCTCTACAATCTGGGTCCTCCAACCAATAGCGCAAATTCCCCTAGGAAATAATCAAAAGGAAAAAAAGATGAAGAAAGGAGCTGCAAGAAACAGGGAATGAACATTCTATTATATAAAAAAAATATATATCCTGCCAGACAGGAAACCGTGTCCCCATGACACACAACTTCTGTTGTAGCAAACCAAGTATACTCTTGCCACGAAGCAAAATGAATTTAAATTGTGCTGCTGATGTTTTTATTTGGACACCAACAATTCAGACAAAACTTGACAATTTCTGCAATACATCAGAATGTAAATCAGTCTTCAAACTCAGATACCTTGCAGGTGGGGGGGGGGGTTTGGTGCATTTTCAGGAGTTTCAGTGTTATGTGTACAAATTATTGAGCTCATGCCTCTTGCTGAAAACAGAGACATGTATCCCAGGAATCATCAGAATTTGAACATTTAAGCCTCATATTGGTAATTTCATCTCTTGATGAAAATATACATTAGGGAGCTATGTAATGTTGATTAGGGCAAGATCTGTTTCTCCTGCTTAGTGAGGGACGTCGTGTCTTGGGGATGTCTGGAGTGATATCTACTTGCCATTCAGTCTTCTGAATGCTTACCAGATCTTTAAATGGCTGTTTCTCTGGGATTTCCCACTCATCACTGATTGTCATGTACCTGAAAGTGCAATAAAAATTGGTCACGGGTACATACTTGCATGTATGTTTAAGGAAGTCGTGGAGATGAAACTCTACTCACTTGTCAAAGTCAGTGAAAACATTGACCCTGAAAGTGTGCTGCTTGTCCAGCTTGTAACCATCTGTGTTTTTTACAGCATCCAGAGCATGAGTGGGAGACATATACTCCAAGAAGATATACCTGCAATGAAACAAAACCAGCTCATTTATTTCCTACGTTTATATTCCACCTTTCACTCAGAAAAGCGACGCAGCTTACAAATTCTCTTATTCCCCCCCCCCACAGCCACCATTCTCATTGTCTAAACTTTTCAAGACACCATGTTCATTGTGGGAGAAGCTCTTATGAGCATAGCAAGTAACCAGCTTTTCTTTCCTTCTTTCTTTTCAACATGTGTCTAGTGTGTTACCCAACAATCTTTTACACAGGAAATGAGAGCACCCTAAAGCATTTTATATAAGAAAACTTTAGCAAGGTGCCTTGGAAGCAGGATAATATGGTGGTCAGCTTGGAGGTATGTGTTGGAGAGGCACAAATGCACCCGCAACTATTCTGGCTTGCTAGATGGGCTAGAAGATTATGCTTCCTTGATGGATGAGACTTGGCTACAGGAAAAAAAAAGATGTGAAAAACATGCACCTCATCAGCACTCACCCTTTAGTCTGGCCATCAGCTTCTGGGTAAAATTCATTGGTGATTTTCCCAAACTTTGAGAAAACCTTATGGATAACATTCTTCAGTTTCTCAAGGCGGTCTGGTCCAACCTGGGGGACGTTGTCCACCACAATCACCGAATCGATCCCATCCGCTTCCTGAGGGAGCTCTTGCAGAATATCTCCCAGTAATTCTGCGGACAGGGAGACAGAGAAACCATTGAGGAAGGTCTTGGGGAAGGACAGAGCCCATGGCTACGTTCCTAAGATAAAGCCAATCGTCTACATTAGGTTTGTTAAGCCTCTTGAAGGCAAGCAGAAGCTCAAGTGGAATCATTGGGTGGAAAGGACCTTCTGATAACTGGTTTTGGGTAATAAAGGAAAAGGTTTGGGAAGCACTGCTTTCGAGGGTCTCTTATCATATGACTCTTAACAGGCCAGTGGTAATTGCTGAGATGAACCCCTGAACAAATTATTCCCCACAGCATTGCGTCTCCTCTTTTCTCCAGCTTGTTTCAACACTCTCAAGCCAGCCTAGCAGCCACCCTAGCACTGAATTCTTCCCTCTGTTATTTGCGTTATTTTGCGAAACCTGAAAAGCTTCCAAACTGTCACTGAATTGTTATCTATGCTGAATGTTTTGAATATTAAGGCATCAGAATGAATGAGAAAACCGTGTTCAAATATTTTAGTCATAGTTAAGTTCTCTTTGCTTTTAAAAATGCATTTTAATCTAACGTGCCACAAGCATATTGTCACACTTGTATTTCACCCTTCTCCTTTAATCCAGTTGTACCTTCACAGTTCTTCAGTCTTTTGGGCTACAAGGTGTTCATTTATAAGCCACGCACAAGTGTGGGTACTGAACATTCTAACAATAAACAGGAATTGGACAAAATGTTCAATTGCCTACTAGGACATCTTGCCCAATTGTTCACTTAGTTCTTCCAGTTTGGTACTCAACTCATGAGCAGAAGCTTCTACCGTACTTTCTCAAGTAATCTTGGCTGATTAACTGGGATCTCTTTGTTCTCCTCTGTGTGGTTAAAATAATTCTTCATAAAGCATCAGATTCTAATCTGGGATACCTAGAGCCAAAACCAGCAGGCTCTCCAGGTTTGTGTCCCTAATATGGGAGACAGAAATACTTGACAATTCTCAAGGGCCCCTCTATACATCAAACAGAAGCCACATTTACCTAAACCAGGGGTCTTCAAACTTGGCCCTTTTATGACTTGTGGACTTCAATTCCCAGAATTCCTCAGGCCTATTCATAGTTCTCAAGGTTAACTAACAACTGGCAGAGTGGCTGTTTGAAGGATTCACAGGTTCCCTTTTCCACTGATAAGTAAAAAACAGGGCTGCTTGAAACTGACAACAGCTCTTCAACCGCATTCACTCAATATTGTACAGATGTTACAAGTGCAGTCCACACACACACAACCGCTTCCCTATTTCCTCAGCTGTGCTCACCCACCAAATGTTAACTCCCTTGGGGCAGGCACATCTCATCCCAGACCCTGTGAAATGCAACGCACACTGAACGCTCCAGCAGGGTCTTCCTGCTTTTCTTTTGCAAAGAAAGGTCCATCTATTATTCTCCAAAGCACCAGCAGACAAGAAATGAATGGAAAGGAGAGAAGCAACCTGGAATTAAGGAGAAACTTCCTAACAGTGAGAACAATTAACCAGTGGAACGGCTTGCCACCGGAAGTTGTGGATGCTCAATCACTGGAGGCTTTTAAGAAGAGACTGGACAGCCATTTGTCTGGAATGATATATGGGTCTTCCTGCACGAGCAGGGGGATGGACTAGAAGACCTCCAAGCTCCCTTCCAACCCCGTTATTCTGTCGAACCACCCAGATACGACTTTGTAATAAGCTCTTTGCTTTGGGGCTCCTGGAAAGCAAGAACGACCTCTGGGAAGCAGGCAAGCAGCAGGGATGCTCCCCAAGGCAGCTCTCCCCCTTGCCACATCATCCAGGACCATCCCTGATGGGAATACCCAACACTCTCCCTCCCCACCCAGCTGGGAACGCTGGGGCTTGTAGTCCAGCCCCTGACTGGGAAGCCAGGTGCCAAGGGCTCCTCCTTGCCCTTTCTTCTCTCAGCTCCCCTAGCCCTGGGGTGGGGAGCCGTGGCTCTTTTAGGACTTGCGGACTTCAACTCCCAGAATTCCTCAGCCAGCAATGGCTGGCTGAGGAATTCTGGGAGTTGAAGTCCACAAGTCCTAAAAGAGCCCCTGCCCTACTAGTCCCTTCCTGGGCGGATCCACAACGGACCCGGAACAGCTGCTCAAGGGCCAGAGGAGGAACATCTGGAGGGGGGGCAGGCAAGGCCGAGGCGGCTCTTTCTCCTCCTCTTCCCTTTTGCCCCCCAAAAGACCCCCCCGTCCCTCCCCCTCCCCCTTGATTTCTCTCTTCTTCCTCCTCCTCCTCCTCCGCCCACACCTTCCTCGTCGACATCGTCCACGAAGTCCTCGGGGTCGCTGAAGGAAGGCTCGTCCTCGTCCGGGCCGAGCGGAGGAAGGGGCGGCCGGGGCGGCTCCGGCTCGGACTCCCGCTGCGCCTCCTCCTCCTCCTCCTCCTCTGATCTTCCTCTTTCTTCTTCTTCCTCTTCCTCCTCCTCCTCTTCTTTCTCCTCCTCTGATCTTCCTCTTTCTTCCTCCTCCTCCTTTTCTTCTTCTTTCTCCTCCTTCCCCTCTTCGGGCTTTTCTTCCCCCGGCGCCTCGTTGGCGGCGGCCACCGGCGACTCTTCTCGGGCGGGCGGCGGCGACGACGGAGGCGGCTCCTCGTTCACGGCCGGCGGCGACGGAGGCGGCTCCTCGTTCACGGGCGGCGGCGGCGACTGAGGGGGAGGAAGCGGCTGCTCGGGCGGCGCCCCGGCTTCTTCGCCCCCGCTGCTTTTTCCCTCCTTGTCCTCCTCCTCCTCAGCCTCCTCGCCGCCGCCGCCGCCTTTTCCGGCCGGTTCCGGCTCCGATCGGGGCTCCGGCTCGGCCTGCCGCCCCTCAGGCGACTCCACCGGCGGCCGATCGGCCTCCGAGTCGCTGCTACTGCCGCTGCTGCTGCCGCCGCCGCCTCCGGATCCGGCTGCGTCGGCGGAAAGGGCGTCCGGAGGGGAGGCCGCCGCGGCCGCCGCCAGGCTCTCCTCGGTCTCCTGCATGGGAAACTCGGGGGGGCTGCGCGGCCTTCGCGATCGCCTCACACACGCCGCTCGGGGAGGCCTCGGCCGAAAAGGAGGGGAGGGCGCATGCGCGCACGCACGGGGGAGGCGGCGCCCCTGGCCGGGCCATGTGCGCGCGAGCGCCGCCGCCCGCTCTCGCGAGACCGGGAGGAAACCATTTCTCGGAGAGAAAGCAGAGGCGCTGGAAGGGAAACGTTCCTCGGCTTTAGTTCAGGAGAACGGCGTCAGTCGAGTCGTTTTACTTTTTTTCCTCCGACGTGCTTTTCCCACGGTTACTTTTTTTTTTATTTAAAAAAACCCCACTTTTCAGATTATACCAATCCTCCCCTCCCCCCTCTGGATCCATCGGGGTGAGGCAGTCCAAGATGGCGACCGATTTGAAAAGCGCCTTGAGGTGAGGTTTGGATCCAGCAGATGACGGGGGATGGTCTTGGCAGGGCGCTGGTGATAAAACTATTGGTTTACGCCTGTACCATTGAACACAATAGGAAATCCTTTATTTGGGAAGGTAATTTATGAAAAAGGAAAAATATAGTCGCACTGAAGAAGGAATTAATGCTTTACTATAGTGACCTATCACCCTTTCAAGGGTTCATAATGGTATCGTCTAGGAATTTGACGTATCGGGAGCATGGACCATACTAAGTGTCTCGTAGGGGAGCTTTAGCTAATTATTGGCACCTATCCTGAAACCCCTAAGACAAGCAGTGTCTGGGATATCCACTATTTTTTACAAAGTAAATAATATATACAGTTATATATAGTGATTGCGGTTTTCTCTACGCTTCATTTTTTTTTAAAAAAAAACCTTTGGAATGGTACGAGCCCAGCCACATCAGCTGTTTCTTGCTCACGTGATCTTCCTTTTAAAGAAACGACACCCAAAAAGGACGGTGAGCCATTGGGTCCCTATTGCAGGAGAGGGATATTAACCTTGTTCCAAAGCTGGTGGTCCCCACCAAACTTTTAAAACGCTTCAAATGCAGATTAAGATTTGCAATGATTTTATAGACTTCCTTCCTTTTCTGCATTAAGTGGCATTTATTTTTTGTGAACATGCACTTAGGAAACCATGCATATCCCAGACTAGGTTGCCTCCAATATACAGTAATAGATTGCAATTTCCAATCTGGCATTTTGGCTGGGAATGAGGGCATTTAAGAGTCTAAAACATCTGGAAATCAGACGATTGGGGCTGGAGAAGGCTGTTTCTGCCAGGATATGTTAGTCCTTAAGGCACCATTTTGTCTTGTGAGGTTTCTCCTAATCAACACGATGCAGCAATGCAAAAATCATGGGTAATTTTACAAGCACTTTAATTCCGATTATTTCCCCTCCCCCATGAATATGACAGATAGTATTGTATTTTTATATTACAGTTACAGCGATGTTCAAATCCATTGGCTCTTTGCTAAACTGGTAGGAACAAGGACATCGAAAATGACCCCCAGGAAATCTCCTATGACAGAAAGCTAGGTAAAACTTTTCTTAAAATACTACTATTGGAAAATGAATATTCATATAAATGCACCAACAATGTTTCTTTCAAATATAGTTTTTGAATCAGATCAACATGACACTGTACTTATTAACCTTCCAGAATCCCGATATAATGTTTGAATAATATAGTACAACATATATGTCAAGAAAAAGCTTTGATCTGCTTATTTGCCCTATCTAGGGGCACATGGACTGTTGCCCTCTAAATAGGAGGTGCCGTGCTAATGCAATCCATTGCATCCTTAATTTGCACATTTTTGCAAGGCCTTAGAAGGGCTGTGAGAACTTGAGAAAACAAGCACGGTTTTAAAATCCAAGCAAAATTTTAAAAGTGCAGGGAGGAATCATAAATTAGTATGGGGTGGCATTACTGGTTTCTACAGCCTAAGGGTTCAGTATGCTGAGGGTAGCTCTCCAAATGGGATAATTTCCCTTTTTTTGTGGTAGCTGCTTTTTTTTTTAGCCAGACGAGCTATTCCAGATCAAAAGAAGGGGATTTCTAAGAGCTTAAAGTGAAGTTCTTAAATATAAGGTGGTATCTGAAGCAGAACTAGATTCTGCAATAGCTTTCTACCATATAGTATCAACCTTGTTAACTCTCAAGACTCTTTTTTTCCACTATGTATTAAAAATGGGCTGTGATTAATGTATATATGTACACACACACACTGTATATAGACTGTATATACATTTCTATGTACTTTATATGTACACTGTGAACATGCACTGGAGATAAATTCTTTGTGTCTCCAATCACATTTGGCCGGTAAATAATTCTGTTTTGTTTCTGTTTCTATTCTATTGTATTCTATTCCTATTCCTATTCCTATTTCAATTCTATTCCTATTTCAATTTCAATTCTATTCTATTAATTCTATTGTACAATTATTCTATTCTGCATTCTATTCTATATACATTATATATATATGTGTGTGCATCTATTGTATGGCATCAGAATTTCACTTTTAACGTGTGCAGTGTGTACACAGAATAAGTGACTACTGGTTTATCTCATCTCATCTTTTATCTTATACCTTATCTACTTTTCTCAGGGTGTGTTAGACTCCAGCAGCCTTTCTCAACCTCAGCAACTTTAAGGGGGGTGGACTTCAACTGGCACTGGTTGGGGGAATTCTGGGAGTTGAAGCCCACCCCTCTTAAAGTGGCTGCGATACTGTCTGCCAAGTTGACACACCACCCCGAGAAAGGGTGTGTCCCAAGGAAGAGTCAAACCACCCCCCCCC